TGGGAACTGGTGAGTATGATTGACCCTGAATGTGTTTAACGCACACACACACGTTCAGTTTTCAAACAATGATAATCAGTAAACCTTTAACAGGAGCGGTCTGCTGTGTGAGTGGGCTCTGGAGTTACAGGAGTGTGTTTTTTGTGAGGTGATGCTGAACGTTTCCTGGCCTCCTCTGAATCTGGCCCAGCCTTTGCAGAAATCACAAACTGAGTTTGTCCCGAGGAGATGGCGCACCAATCAAATTATGTTTCTGTTCTTTAAAGGCTTTGACAACAACGGGGGGGTGGCAGGCCCCCGCAGCACTCGGCAGAGCAACCCAGAGGAGCACGCTACTCACTACTTCAACAGCTTCTCTAAGGACTTGTTAGTCCAGGTGAGACTTGAGGCTGAATGCACAACCGGGTCAGCAATCACTTCCAAAATAATCCCCAAAGCGAAGCTTCATGAAGGATGGGCAAGAGTCTGTTTGCAGGCTTTGGCCTATTTAAGGCTTTTTTTCTGTTAGCGTTTGCTGATTTGTTCAACGTTACCCCCTCTGGGGTCTAGTGCTGCTATTCCCAGCACCCGGAACTTTGAACACGTCTCTCAGCTGTAGTGGAAACGTGTCACACAGAAACCCGGCTAGCTGTCCTGGTGTTTGATCCACTTGGTTCTCTGTGGGGGGTTAGAGCGTGGAGCACCAAAAGGATGAGCAGGGCATGGTTGTTTTTATCCTTTTTTCTGGCTCTGCCATCTGTTCAGCGATGGCGGCTAAGCAAATGTCACTTTGTGTTTGTAGGCAATGGTTGGAATTCTCCAGGGTAAGGCGCGCGGGGGGGAGGAGGAGAGCATCCTCATGCACGACCTCAAGCCCTTTCGCATCCTGATCAGCCTACTGGACAAACCAGAGCTCGGTAACCCGTCGCTCCATATCTGGACTCCAGCGGCCATGTTGGTGTGGTCAATGCAAGACATCTGTCATGAAAACACAAACTGACCTAGGATCTGTCCCCTCTGTGACGCCCCCAGGGCCCGCCATCCTAGAGGATGTTCTGATTGAGGTTTTTCGGACTCTTTACACACAATGCAGGATGGAATTAGATCTTCAGAACCAGAGTCCATTCAGCAAAGATCACACACACCTCAGCAGGTGAGTTCAGCCCACTATGGTGCTGTTTGAGGTCAAGCTGCTATTTGTATTTTTTATCATTTATTTTAGTTTTTATTTTAATAACAGCCACCCAGTCTAATATTGCGATGGTTAAGTTAAGATAATTCATCAGCGCCTTTAAAAACGCTTCATAAGAGAGACGGTTGCTAGGCTTATCACACTTTGCATTGAATACACAACTTTTCTGTGTTCTTACAGGGACAAATGCTGTTATTTTACAATGTTTGGATGTAAGAAATTGGTTAAATATAAAATTGGGGAAACAAAAGTGTGTATTTTCTTCTAAGCATGAACACAAACCACATAATTATTTGTTTTTTCATCTTTTCTAGCAAACTTAGAGAGAACAAGAAGACAGCCGAGCTGATTAAAACAGCAAACCTCCTGTTCAACTCGTTTGAGCCGTACTACATGTGGGACTACATCGCTCGCTGGTTTGAGGAGTGCTGCAGGTCTGGAGTTTAAAGGCTTCTTCACAAATTTACTTGATTTGGCAACTTCAGAAGTGTTTGAAGTAAAAATGAAGATGTGAGTGGTAAAACTGAACTGCTGGACAGACGGTCGCTGGTCACACGCTGAAGTTTCCCTCGTGTGTTTCAGGAGGAAGGTGACCAGCGGCTCACACTCAGCTCGGCATGCTGGGAGCGTGGCGTCTCCTGAGCTTTCTTTGGTGGAGTTCTGTCGATTAGTTGATTTTCTGCTGGACATTGTTTCCTTGGTGAGACTTTCTCATTTTCTTTTCTGTTTCTGTCGCTCTCTCCTTTCCCTTCTTACTATCTTTAATTTTGCTTTTCAACATTGATTTTCCAGGTGACCCCACAATATCAGGGATTATATGATTGATACCAGAATCATGGACATTTCATTTTCAGAACTCGTAGCAAAGAAAATAGAAACTAATCAGGGATGTGTTCTAGATATTCTTTGTAGAGTTTTCCTGTTTGCTTATTACTTCAACTCACAGTGGAATCCCAGTGGGTGGTTTCCACCACCGCCATCTTGACCTCATCATGCCTCTCATCACTCCTGGAAAATACAAAAATGGAGCTGAGAGCGGGGTTGTGCGGGCGGTGGTAGATGTTTGACGCCCATCAAACTCTTGAGACAATGTAGCTACGAGCTAATTGGAGCTAACGGGTTGGCGGGTGATTTTAGCTGCGGTTGAGCGACTCTGCTACCCTCTTCCTTCTAGGCTGTAACACGTTTAACGTGAGGCCGAGGCCTTTTGTGGTCCAAGCAGGAGGAAAGCCGCTAGCGCTAACGTCTCAACTACTACAGAAGACAACCCTGTAATTACTAATTATTTCAAGCTTGAATTAAACAGATGAGTTATAACGATTACAGTAAGCTAGACTTATCCAACTGAAATGTTTTAACCTAGCTGTAAACATGTTTATTTCTGCTGTGAAGTTGGTATTTTAACATGCGAGTCAATGAGAACTTGCTCCGTTCTTGAGCCGGCCCCTAGTGGATGAGGGGAGAGCTGCAGTTTTCTTCCTTCCATCTTGGCTTCACAGACCAGCACCTTGAGTGCTGCTTTCTGTCAGGAAGGTCATAAATATTTCTAATGACCTGCTGATGTTAAGCTGCCAGTAGTGTAGGGGCTGCTGTGCTGTTTCAGAGAGCAGAACTGATCTAATATGACCTCACTACGGCCAGTTGTTATTTCGTCAGTCTGGTAACAGCTAATCTGTGTTTCTCCAAACTGAAGCCCTTCAAACAGCTATCAGCATGACGAGACAGAACCCCACTTTAGTAGAAATGACAGTTTGTTGAATGTAACACCATTCCTTCCACAGCCTTTGATTGTAATCTTAACTATCCCCCCCCCCCCACACACACACACACACACACACACACACACACGCACACACTAGAGCTGTAGACTCTTGGCATCATCTAGTCAGTCAAGTTTTTGTGATGTTAAATGTTCTCTTCTTCTTACTTTACCTTCATTTTTTCTTTCTTCCTTATCTTTAATTTTTTATCTAACACCCCTCCAGCTTAGGCTCTGGTCTGACACACACACACACACACACACATTTATGATTAGTCGATCTTGGTCCAGTTTGGGATGTTCAGCAGCGTTGTGTGTGTGTGTGTGTGTGTGTGTGTGTGTGTGTTCCCTTGTGTTGTATTGCACTCTCCACACTGACTCCAGCAGCCTGTGTGAGAGAGAAGTTTCCTAATATTCTTTGTTTCATTCATTTTTCTCTAGTTATTTCCAATCTGACAAGTTTGGAAATCTCCTTTTTATTACCCTGTTGAAATGGGTGTGGGTGTGTGTGTGTGTGTGTGTGTGTGTGTGTGTGTGTGTGTGTGTGTGTGTGTGTGTGTGTGTGTGTGTGTGTGTGTGTGTGTGTGTGTGTGTGTGTGTGTGTGTGTGTGTGTGTAGAGTGGGTATATGGAGTGTGTGTGTGCATGCTGTGTAGAGTGGGTATATGGAGTGTGTGTGTGTGTGTGCTGTGTAGAGTGGGTACCGTAAATCCTCTAATATTAGCCTGTATTCAATTAACTGCCGGGTATCATATTTTGGCTGGTGTCGGAGTCGGCGTAGGTGAATAATGGCCGTTTTTTTATTGTGGCCAGGTGGAATGTGGTAACAAGCAAGTACGGGGGGCGGTTGTGTCATCAGTCTCACTTTTGATTTGCCAGTGATAGACCGCGAGGGTAACTTTAACCGTAGGGAGACGAAGAGTAGGCGAAAATTTGATATCAAGTTCAAAGAGAACGTGCTGATTATGCTGCAGAACACTGGGGAGCAATAGGGGTTGTATGAACTAGTCGACTTCACTATAGTGACTTTTTATGCCTGTCATCGACTAGTCGCTGTCACGTGATAATGACCGGCAAGATGCAGCCCTCGGAAAAGACAGCAGCCTGCTGTCAGCAGGTGACAAGCTCCTGCGCGTCGGGGGGACAACGCGCTCTGCCAGAGCGTCGGTACTGACACGCGATCGTTCATGTCGGTTCATTTCCTTTAATGTTTTCTGTCTTTTATTTGCGCCTGATGCGTTTCGCTACTATGGAGCGGGGCGCATCACCTTGTCCTCCGGCGACGCACCGATCACTGATGCGGCCGCCAAGCAGGGAGCACTCCGCTGTTTTTGCGGTGGGTAGATCTTTTAGAACTGCAGTTCAAAGGTAACTCATGAGGTGAATATATATGAACCCAGGTAGCAGTTTCTCTTTAGGATTGAGAGGAGATGCTGGAAGATAATAAACAGATACAGGACAGAAAAATAGTCAAATAAAAACAAGTTAGTTTTTGTACCTGGTGGTTGCAACAAACAGCCACCATTGAAGGTAATCAGAAGTGAGGAACAGAAAATGAAATAATTATTTTAATGTTTAGAGCAGCAGGAACTCCGAGAGGCTGCAGGCGCATCAGTGAGTTTGCGGCCACTGCGCAGGGGGAGGGGGGAGATGGCTGAAGCAGAAACTACCGTTGTTAAAAGAAATGTGTTTAACTTTGAAAATGTGAGCACAATTTTAATTGTCAAAAACTCCAGCGAACCATTAGTTCATTTTGCTCAAATAGAAATAGAGGTCTGCCTCTAATACTGGCCCTCCTTCCAATAAAGCCCTGGAGCTTGATGAGCTTGAGTCAAACACAGGCCCGGGCCTGTATTAGAGGATTTACGGTATATGGAGTGTGTGTGTGTGTGTGTGTGTGTGCTGTGTAGTGTGTGTGTGTGTGTGTGTGTGTGTGTGTGTGTGTGTGTGTGTGTGTGTGTGTGTGTGTGTGTGTGTGTGTGCTTGCTGTGTAGAGTGGGTATATGGAGTGTGTGTGTGTGCGTGCTGTGTAGAGTGGGTGTATGGAGTGTGTGTGTGTGTGTGTGCGTGCTGTGTAGAGTGGGTGTATGGAGTGTGTGTGTGTGTGTGTGCGTGCTGTGTAGAGTGGGTGTATGGAGTGTGTGTGTGTGCGTGCTGTGTAGAGTGGGTGTATGGAGTGTGTGTGTGCGTGCTGTGTAGAGTGGGTGTATGGAGTGTGTGTGTGTGTGTGTGTGCGTGCTGTGTAGAGTGGGTGTATGGAGTGTGTGTGTGTGTGTGTGTGTGTGTGTGTGCATGCTGTGTAGAGTGGGTGTATGGAGTGTGTGTGTGTGTGTGCATGCTGTGTAGAGTGGGTGTATGGAGTGTGTGTGTGCCGCTCTGCTTGCTCCTGTCTGTTGAAACTCTGCTCTTTCTCCCTGAAGCCCACTAGAAGCATGAGGGTAATCTGCCAGGTAAAGTACTGCTCTTTCCTGCTTTTTCACCTCACCCTGCTTCACTGAGGCTACGATAACATTTCTGCAACATCCTGCCAACATCCTTCAGGCCCGTCATTGTTCCTCCGCTGCTTTGAGTGTTCATGTCACCGTGACCAATCTGTTTTCATATTTTAACGCCTAAAAGAGAACATGATCTGGTGGTGATGTATGGAGATGACTCACCCTGGCTGTTTGGTGTGGATCTTGTGAAAATGAAATCTCTGCCCAGTGTGTGTGTGTTTTTGTTAAGCATGTGTGCACTAAATGCTACATCACTTCTCATATTTTTACGATTTAATTTCATACCATGATTTAGCTTCCATTTGTTTCATAAAAATGTGTATTTATTTATTTTTTTGTTGAGTAAATAATCCACATCAGTGAGGTGGTGCATCCACACTTTTAATAGGCAGCGTTTTTGTTTATTTATAGACTAATTAGAAAGGAAAGAAAAGAATCAGAAAGCCATTTTAGGACAGCAGTACTAAACTAGCAGCCCTGATAAACTTATAATAATAATAATAATAATAAATAATAATAATAATAATAATACAGGGAGTGCAGAATTATTAGGCAAATGAGTATTTTGTCCACATCATCCTCTTCATGCATGTTGTCTTACTCCAAGCTGTATAGGCTGGAAAGCCTACTACCAATTAAGCATATTAGGTGATGTGCATCTCTGTAATGAGAAAGGGTGTGGTCTAATGGTCTAATGACATCAACACCCTATATCAGGTGTGCATAATTATTAGGCAACTACCTTTCCTTTGGCAAAATGGGTCAAAAGAAGGACTTGACAGGCTCAGAAAAGTCAACAATAGTGCGATATCTTGCAGAGGGATGCAGCAGTCTTAAAATTGCAAAGCTTCTGAAGCGTGATCATCGAATAATTAAGTGTTTCATTCAAAATAGTCAACAGGGTCGCAAGAAGCGTGTGGACAAACCAAGGCGCAAAATAACTGCCCATGAACTGAGAAAAGTCAAGCGTGCAGCTGCCAAGATGCCACTTGCCACCAGTTTGGCCATATTTCAGAGCTGCAACATCACTGGAGTGCCCAAAAGCACAAGGTGTGCAATACTCAGAGACATGGCCAAGGTAAGAAAGGCTGAAAGACGACCACCACTGAACAAGACACACAAGCTGAAACGTCAAGACTGGGCCAAGAAATATCTCAAGACTGATTTTTCTAAGGTTTTATGGACGGATGAAATGAGAGTGAGTCTTGATGGGCCCGTGGCTGGATTGGTAAAGGGCAGAGAGCTCCAGTCCGACTCAGACGCCTGCAAGGTGGAGGTGGAGTACTGGTTTGGGCTGGTATCATCAAAGATGAGCTTGTGGGGCCTTTTCGGGTTGAGGATGGAGTCAAGCTCAACTCCCAGTCCTACTGCCAGTTTCTGGAAGACACCTTCTTCAAGCAGTGGTACAGGAAGAAGTCTGCATCCTTCAAGAAAAACATGATTTTCATGCAGGACAATGCTCCATCACACGCGTCTCCACAGCGTGGCTGGCAAGAAAGGGTATAAAAGAAGAGAAACTAATGACATGGCCTCCTTGTTCACCTGATCTGAACCCCATTGAGAACCTGTGGTCCATCATCAAATGTGAGATTTACAAGGAGGGAAAACAGTACACCTCTCTGAACAGTGTCTGGGAGGCTGTGGTTGCTGCTGCACACAATGTTGATGGTGAACAGATCAAAACACTGACAGAATCCATGGATGGCAGGCTTTTGAGTGTCCTTGCAAAGAAAGGTGGCTATATTGGTCGCTGATTTGTTTTTGAATGTCAGAAATGTATATTTGGGAATGTGGAGATGTTATATTGGTTTCACTGTAAAAATAAATAAATGAAATGGGTATATATTTGTTTTTTGTTAAGTTGCCTAATAATTATGCACAGTAATAGTCACCTGCACACACAGATATCCCCCTAAAATAGCTAAAACTACAAACAAACTAAAAACTACTTCCAAAAACATTCAGCTTTGATATTAATGAGTTGTTTGGGTTCATTGAGGACATGGTTGTTGTTCAATAATAAAATTATTCCTCAAAAATACAACTTTCCTAATAATTCTGCATTCCCTGTAATAATAATAAAAATAAATAAATAAATAATAATAATAATGCCCTTTATTGTCCCTTATTGGGGAAATTCTGGTGCACCAGTGGCAAAGTTACAGGTAAGTAAAGAAAAACAGATTCACACAAATATATATATATATATATATATGTATGTATGTATATGTATAATGAAAAGAGAAATGAAAATAGAATAGATTGTAAATTATTTACAGCATGGATGTAGTAATGACACAAAAATATTTTATAAGATGTTATAATAGCAGCATGAGACTGGAGATGGAATAATGTACAATGATCCAATGTTGGACTCAGATTCTGTGTCACGGAGGCGAAAGGGGTTATTATTCTCCATATGATGATAGAGAATCATGTGAGGCTCTTTTAAATTGCAGGTATGTACTCCTGAACGTCGTAACTCATTGGGTTTTCTCATCATTTCTCCATGATTGTAGGAGACGTACATTGAAATCCAGACAGAGCACCTTCCTCAGCTGCTGTTGCGGATGGTGGCAGCTCTGACCAGTCACCTGCAGGCCCTGGGCCTTGGGGAGCTCACCCACTGCCTCCGACTCTGCTCCAAGATCCTCAGTAAGGTGCAGCCTCCTCTGGTGTCTCCGCTGGCTCTGCCTGCGAACCCACAGGCCCAGGGCTTCTCTGGTACCGGCAGCTCGTCTAACTCGGCAAGGGACGGTGGACGAGACGAGGACAACAAACAGGTCAGGAAAAAGATTTAAATGAAATGGATATTAGTCAGCGTGTGTTTAAATGAGGTGTGTTGTTTTCAGTGATGAAGGTCCTGGTGTCCTTGATGGAAGGAGATCATTTGAGGTTTTTAGGGGATAATAAAGCTGATTTCTGTTCAGTTTAGGGCTGAATGCAGTAAAAGTTTGAGATTTTCTAGCTCTTGTGAAGAGAGTAAAACAAGTTTTGTTACCTTTTGATAAAGTCCTAGTTTTACCAACACCCCCCCCCCCCCCCCCCGACCCACTTCCCCTACACATTATGGCCCAACCACCCATTAGCTGAGGCTCTGATGGTGTGTCCTGGTCCTTGAACAGGACCTCTTGTTGTCTGGGTGGCCGTTGGAAGCCCCCTCATCACAAAACATCTGAAGAACAAACTCTTCTTTTGGTTTGTTGTGGATCTTCTGGTCCCGGTCCAGTATCCTGGCTGTGAAAGAGTTTTTTTTTTAACTCGTCGAGCCGTGATAGAACGTTCGGCGTTCTCTTCTCAGAGGTAGATGAGGGCAGGATGGGTTGGGTAGACCCCTAAGAGCATGGCAAAAGACAGAAGATGGAAATCTAACAGCTGAACCTTTTTTCTTCCTCAAAGGAAGTAGATGAGTAGTTTGCGAAGCCTCCAGGGTTTCTGTGTCCAGCAGAGTGGAAAACATCGTCCAGCTTACATCAACTGAATGTGATTACCCCTCCCCCGCCATTAGGGGCTCATAGAGGTTGTGCAAGCTGCCATCTGAGTCCAACCTGCAGAATATGCATGCCGTCTATCAGAATGAGCTCCAGGGAGCCTTCAGGTCCTCAGAGGACGACTGGGACAGAGAATTGACCAAACTTTCATCTGCTAGTCTGTCTGCAGCAGGACGTGTCTCTGGTGTCCAGCCTGTCCAGTCTACACGTGTTCTTTTGCACGTCTCAGATGTAATAGTGTTATAATAGTTAATTGATTATAGTAATTTAGAAGATTTTTATATTTATGATTTACAGAAATAAGACTGATCTTAACAGTTAGACATGATAAAATTTCCACTTTGTTTCTTTGCAGACTCTCCCCTCCACCCTGGTGGTACCTGGCAGTGAATACGTGTTTGAAGACGGTGAACGCCTTCCCAGCAGTCGCTCCCCTGAAAGTGGCTTTACAGACTTTGTCCAGTACCAGGAAGACGGCTCTGAGGACACCGAGCGAGCCCCTCACCCCCACCCAGCACTCAGGACGGGCGGCCACTTCACAGGCCCTTGTCAGACCAAGCTTCTGGATAAACCCGTCATGCAGTGCTGTCTGGAGCACTTCCAGCAGTTCCTCTCCCGCCTCGTCACCTTGTATATTGTCCCCGTGCGGGTGGACGAAGCTGAGGGACAGAGACGAGAGCTCGTGCCTTCTGGACCTGTGGTTTCGGACAGCTGCCAGCACAGCGATCTTACAGAGTTGGGGGCAATCCAACGAGAGCGTGTTTCTGCCTTCACCGCTGCCTGTCAGCTCTTCTTGGAATGTTCCAGTTTTCCGGTCTACATCGCAGAGGGAAATCTCAAATCCTCACCCACACAGGAAGTACAGCTCGGTAAGTCCCATTCTCTTCACATACAGTTAGGTACTTTGTGTCCTCTGTCATGTTTTATGAATGGAAACTGACTCATGTTCCGACTCCGCCTGATGTCCCACCTTCTTCCTCAGACAATCAGCAGGTCCGGCTGCCCGTGTGGCTGCAGACACTGATGGATGCCTGCTGCCTGGCCAGTGACTTCAGCCTCCAAGGTGTTGCCATCTCTCTCCTGATGGACCTAGTAGGCCTCACACAGTCAGTTGCCATGGTGACCGCTGAGAGTGCGGCATCACGCGACAACTCGGACTCCGCCCAGCCAATGAGTCCCAGCCAGGGTCGAGTGGCTGTGGTCATAAGGCCTCCTCTCACTCAGGGAATCCTGAAGCACATTGCAGATAAAACCGACTTCTTTAAGGTAAAGACGGCTGTTCAGTAGAACTTCTCTTGGTCTATAAGGGAAGTTCCACCCCTAAGGGAAATTTAGTCCGATGCCATATTCCCCAGAGTCGGACAAGTGGGAGAAAGCATAACCAGCTCAGTCGCAATGTAAGGGAATGCTAATAGCAAGCATTTCAATCATTCAAATCCAGAAAGACACCTCCGTAAACACAGTAGCGAGGCCGCTGGGCTTAAACCAGGTAGAGTTCTTTGAAGGAACAGCATAGTAAGTTGCACTAAAATGGCAGAGTACTTAAGAGAAGTAGCAGGTGTGTTCTGGGGCCGCTGCGTTGTAATAACGTGCGTAGGCTTACAGCGCTGCTTAGTCATTAGTCATAATGCAGTCCCAAGTCGAACACCACTTCTGTAATTCCTTCGTGTTACTTATTATTTTCTTTTGCAGTCAACGTGATTGTTGAGGTCACCACGAAAAAACATCGTTGAGTCATTTTCAAAACTTTTGTACATGAAATGCTAGCTTGTTACCATTCACTTGCATTGTTTATGCTAAACTATGCTGGATTGGAATGACTGGGCTGGTTGCTGTTTCCCATCTGGCCACAGACTAAATTTCACTTAAGGGTGGAACACCTCTTTAGGAGTTCTGACTTTAACGTCTGACCTTTTCCCTCAGAGTGTTGCTCTGATCTTGTGGAACCAGCTGAGTGAAGGGACTCCTCAACATCATCAGCGCAGCGTGGAGCTCTTCTATCAGCTCCACAACCTGGTTCCTTCCTCTAGTATCTGTGAGGATGTCATCAGCCAGCACCTCATGCACAGAGACAAGGTCCGCTCACTGAACACTTCCAACGCTTCTGAAACATCTCCATTTATTTATCGTGTTGCGGGTCAGTGGGCTGATGGCACGTTAAACACCAAGCCCTTTCGCTCTGGCCCTGCTGCATGCATTCAGTGAAAAACTGACAGCAGCCATGAACGTTTGCGTCAGAACCTCCGGCCCATTAACGCATGCTGGTCTGCTGCTTATTGGTTATTGTCTCTACCGGCACCAGGCTGGTCCATTTATATGAGATACCGACTACGATCTGCTGTGACGCACAGGAAATATACTGAGCAGCAGAGAAACTAAAAGAAATAAAACCACAAATAAAAAACTAAAACCGTTTAAGCACAATCTGCTAAATGCCTCAAAACAACAGGTAGTCAGTGGGAGGGGCGCAGAGAGCTGCAATCAAAACCAAAGGTAGTAAATTCAGCTCCAGGATTTCTGTATAAACCCTGGATTGTGTGTCTGAGCCGATGGGTTTTACAAAGCTGCACGGCTAACATCAAGTAGAACACTAGTTTCACAAATCAGATTCATATTCCCACTCTTCCCTTTCAGAGGATTCGTCTGGAGGCCCATGTGAGGTTCTCCATTCTGTGGCATCTGACACGAGATCTGAACATCACCAAGTCGTCTCCTTTTAGCCGGACGTTTGACAGGTTAGTTGCAATCTTTCTTGATTGTCCTCCACGCTGTCCGGTAGTGTGACCTGTGCTGGGATGGCTGTTCTCCAGGTCTCTCTTCATCATGTTGGACAGCCTGAGTTACTGGGATCCATGTACCAGCGCGGTCGGTCGGGCTTGGCTAAATCAGGTCCTTCAGAGGCATGACATTGCACGAGTCCTCGAGCCTCTTCTCCTCATCCTGCTCCACCCAAAAACTCACAGAGTCTCCATTCAGAGGGTTCGAGCACAGCGCCACTGGGCTCAGGTGTTTCCTGACCCACCTGAGCAGGAGCCATCAGAAGCCATCTACAGCAGAAACGCCGGGCTTCCTGACCGTAAGCAGAGTTGAGATTTATTTTCATATGTATTAACATCCATTAGTTTACCTGTTTTTTATAAGCTTGTGTTTGTTGTTATGTTGTTCAGACTTGTGCTCGATCCCGTGTGAAAGAGTTGGACCGGAGGAGTTCGGAGGTTTGATGATGGATGACATGGAGCCCTTCTGTCTGACCGTCAACCCGTTGAGTGACAGTTTGTCTATTCTCAGCTTGAGCAGTGAGAACTTGCAGTTAGCTGGTGAATATCACCCATCGGGCCAGCAGGGGGAGCCTCGGAGCTCTGAATCCAGCGGCTCCCATTCGTCCACACTGGAAAATGGTAGTTTTGATGAACCTGAGGGAGTCAGCGGCATGTTAAATGGGTCGGACCAGCAGCCTGGTTTCTCTGATGACACATCTGAAGACTCAATAGAGGAGGCCGCGTACTGCGTCATAAAGGAACTCATCGACAGAGTTCTGATTCTGGTAGATGAGCAATCTCATGAATCACCATCTCCACCTGAAAACTGGCCCCAGTCTGATTCTGAAAGCACTTCTTCAGACACCTCCGTCTGTCCCCGTCTGGACCCCTGCCTTTCTCATAACTCCAACCACCAGAATGTTCCCGAGATGTTGGCTGAAGGCACACTGGAGTTCCTCTGTGTTACACCCGCTGATGCATCAGCAGAGGAGCAGCATAAGGAGGGTATTGCGCGCCATAGTTCATCGCCCTCCATCGTCACGTTGCCAGACGGCTCCGACCCAGCCACTCGGGACCACACCCTGCAGGTGGATGACCCTCGAGCTCGCAAGCGTAGCCACAGCAGCACCCAACTGAGCCTTAAGGGGAAGATTATGGAGAGGCTAGCAGACAAATCGCCTGGGGCGAAGCCAAGGATCAAGAAGACTAAGAGGAAAGAGGAGGAGAGGCAGAGAAAAGCAGCAAATCAAGCAGAGAAAATGCATCCACCCAGCATTTTCTTTGGGGACAGTCTAGATCTGGAGAACTGGTACAGCTGTGGTGAAGGTGAGGTATCAGAGATTGAGAGTGAAATTGGCTCACCAACTGGGGGTTCTGGGGAGAGTGTTGGTGGTTCCGTCGCCACAGGCCGCAGATCCTCCTCAGCTCCTCGTTTTAACATCCACCCTCTCTACCAGCATGTCCTGCTCTACCTCCAGCTGTACGACTCCTCCAGAGCCCTCCACTCTCTGTCCGCCATCGCAGCCATGCTACGAGCTGCCCCCTCAGGCTTTGTGAGTGCCATCTCCACCACCAGCATCAACAACACCTACACGCCACAGCTCTCCTTGCTTCAAAACCTGCTAGCTCGCCATAGGATCTCTGTCATGGGCAAAGACTTCTACTGCCCCATTCCCCAGGACTCCCATTCCCACACCTTCCGCAGCGCTATGTACCTGGAGATAATCATCTCACTCTGCCTCTACTTTCTAAGGAGTTACTACTCTGCACATGTGACAGTGGGCTCTCAGGACTTGGCAGGAAACCGGGCCATGCAGCTTACCAGTGTGGAGGTCCTGACCCTCCTTTTCAGCGAGCTAGCCAAAGTCACAGCTGGCTCAGCTAAGGGCTTTGCTAGCTTCATCAATGATGTCCTCTCAAAGTGCAAAGTTCAGAAAGTCATTCTTCATTGCATCCTTTCCTCCATATTCAGTGCTCAGAAGTGGCACGAGCAGCGGGCGGCTGGGGTTAACGTGGCCACGGTGGAGGAAGGTCTCTCAGAGGACAGCGTCATCAACCTGTCAGAGGACCAGATAGACAGCTGCAGCGCCGTCCAGTCTCAGTTACTCAGGCTGCTGCAGAGTCTAGTCGTCCTTGAGCATAGGGTCCTGATGCCGGCTGATGAAGGTGGTGAAGGTGGACCTGTGGGAGGAGGAGCAGGTGGAGGGTCAGTAGGAAGCGGTGCAACAGGGTTTGAGATCCTGGGTGGGGAAGTGGAGCACGTCAACCCTCAGCAGCCAATGACTTCGCTGCAGTACCTCCACGGACAGCCAATTACGGCACAGGGCATGTTCCTGTGTGCAGTAATCAGAGCGCTGCACCAGCACCACGCCTGTAAGATGCATCCTCAGTGGATCGGACTCATCACGGCCACCCTGCCTTACATGGGGAGGGTGCTGAGGAGGGTGGTGGCCTCGGTTACTCTGCAGCTGTGCAGAAACCTGGATAATCTGCTCCAGCAGTACCGCTATGAGACCGGGATAATGGACTGCAGGTATTAATCTCTTGTTGGTAAAAAGCAAAACAAAAAACATACCAACGCAGGGGTTCGGCCACTAGATGGCGCTCTTTAACCATCTGTCATTGTTGGTGTTTCAGTCTACCATTGAGGTCTAGTCATGAAAAACAGGGAGGGACTCCTTTTATAGCCTGCATGCTGCTTTGTTTTGGAGCTCGCATTTATAAAAGTTTTTTCAGTTTTCATCTGAATAAAATATCAAATGAAAATAAATTTACCAATAAAAATTAAGATTGTTTCATATCTTAATAAAGTCTTCTGATTGTTTTTGCCTTATTGATCAGTTTAACCCTCCCGCTGTCTTCATGGGTGACCCCGCCAGGAAAGTTGACCATTGAGCAGGGTTGATGGTTTATCCCTTGAGGTCCATGCGGCAGGGGTGAGGTGGTGCTCACTCCTCACCCCGCCGCATGGACCTCAAGGGATAAACCATCAACCCTGCTCAATGGTCAAATTTCCTGGCGGGGTCACCCATGAAGACAGCGGGAGGGTTAAGTAACTTCAAGTTGTTATCCAGATTTTTAAATGTACTTCACTAAGATGGAATCTGCTTCAATGTTGGTCATCAGCATTAAAACTAATATAAAAATGTGATTATTTCTTCCAACTGCATAATTTATAGTTTTTAAATAAAGGAAATATTTATATTTGAAGGTAGTCGACTTGATAAACAGACTGAATCTGTTTATCATTCACTTAATGCAAAATTAAATCATTAATTCTTTTGACCAGAAAAGGCAAATGTTACTTCATTTTGGTTTCTTTAAGACTCTGTTCTCATGGATTCAGTTACATTTGGAAATCCCCCAAAGCAAACCTCCTGATCTTTTTAATTATCCCCAGAATAAACATTTGAATCATCTGCAAACAAAATGAATTAATTAAGTACAATTAATCAGTGAAATAAACAGTTTAGGACCCAAAGTGAGCTATGAGGGGATTCACATTTAATCTGTTTGAATTTGTGTTGTTTAACCTCGTTCTGCTCTTCTTCATATAATCTGAGGTTTTGGTCTCTGTGGATGTTCTAGACCTCAGTGGCTGGCGCTCTGCATTCCTCCAGACCTGGTTCTGACTGTGCTGGAGGGAGTGACCTCTATCATCCATTACTGTCTGCTGGATCCCTCCTCCCAGTACCACCAGGTGAGACCGTCATGCTCCAAGAGGTCAAAGCTTCAGGTTTCCGTTTTATTTTAGCTCCTAGATGAAAGCGTTTCAGACCATTTTTACTTCCATCTGTGGTCTTCTTCAGTTACATGTGAGTGTGGACCAGAAGCACCTGGCTGAGGCCCGTTCAGGCATCCTGTCCATCCTCCACACCATCATGTCCTCTGTCACCTTGCTGTGGAGCATCCTCCACCTAGCTGACAGCTCAGACAGACCAGCGGCTGCTTCAGCCGCCTTCACCTCCAACATCAACCTGGGCTCCACAAAGGTACGGTGCTTTATACGTATGAAGTCACTTTGAATTATTATTTTACTAAATGCACCCACCCTTTATTCTGTGGATTTCTAGTCATTAATGTTGGATTTTTTTTTTTTGGGGGGGGGGGGGTTCCCAACACACGATGTAAACTAGCCCGAGCGTTGGTAAATGGAGTATAATCGATGTTCTTTACATCTCACCTGCAGAACCTCCGTCAGCAGATTCTGGAGCTGCTGGGTCCAATCTCCATGAACCATGGCACCCATTTCATGGCAGCAATAGCTTATGTCTGGAACGAGAGGAAACAGGTCAAAGCTCCAGTCAGAAATAAGGTAAAGGGGTGTAAACACCATGCCTATGACCATCTTGTTTACTTATTACTAAACGTAATTTACTATCAGTGAAACTGTTCTGGTTATGATTAGCTTTCTAGTGCGTCTCCGTTAGAGCGCACTAAACATGTCAGCCTCTTGTTTCAGGTGATTCCTCTAGCCAGTGAGGAGCAGCTGCTGCTGGTTGAGCTGGTCCGCTCAGTGAGCGCCATGCGCACCGAAACCGTGATCCAGACGGTCAAAGAGGTGCTGAAGCAGCCGCCGGCCATCGCAAAGGACAAGGTGGGTTTTATATTTGAGTCCTAGCGATAACCTCACCTCCACCCTGGGTGTGTGTAGTTAAACTACTCTGCTACTCACCCCTTCATGTAAACAGGTGTGACGTTGGCACCGTCATCTGCTGCAGACTTTAGTATTTGTAGTTTTCTATGCATGTTAACCCGTGATGTCACTTATTATACATCTAAGCGTGACAGAGCTTAGTTGTGGGATCTGGAAGCCGCTACCTAGCTGATACCTGATAGTTGTGTATTTCCCCTCCTTTTCTGTCATTCGTCCCATCTTTGTAAAACCCAAACGCAGCAGAAATCTTAGCTGTGAGGTCATTCTTCTGTGAAACGGTTTTGGTTTTCCAAAGACATGAATGAAACTGATGTGATGCTTACTGATCTTCAGAAGCACCTCTCTCTGGAAGTCTGCATGCTGCAGTTCCTCTATGCCTACGTCCAGAGGTGAGTGCAGCCGCAGGTTGCTATTATCGAGAAAGGTCCATGGTATAACTACTGTAAATATACCGATCTGGGCTGTTTATGACTGTGTCTGTGTCCTAGGATCCCCGTTTCTAGTCTGGTTGACAGCTGGCCGTCCCTGCTAGTACTGCTGAAGGACTCAGTCCAGTTGGGCCTGCCTGCTCCGGGACAATTTCTCATCCTGGGGTAGGCTTCTGTTTTCAGAGGGTTTAAAAACATGCTTAAGTCACCCGTTTTTTGTTTTAAGTGGGTGGAAACCTCAAAAGTAAAATACATTTATATTGTAAAAATATAAGTATTTGGTCAATTGTGGCTTTTTAAAAGATCACTTGAGATGGGTTTTAATAAGAAAAGGAAACCAGCTGCTGGGACTAGCTCACAAGATCTTTAAAAGCTTGATCAAGATTACAGCTAAACCTGTCTGTCTGTGACGGTGTTACCATGACCTACATGAACCACACCCTTTTGCTTCTGAAACTTTTAACTCGTTCTTTGTTGTTTTTCTGTTCACCAGAATTTTGAATGAGTTCATTTTGAAGAATCCAAATCTGGAAAGTAAGAAGGACCAGCGAGAGCTGCAGGTAACCTCTTCTGCTAGTTGGGGGTCAGTTTAACTCTGAGTTGTTTAACTGAAAAAGGAACTAGTGAAGATGCGGAGCATTTACAGATACAGTGAAAGTCATTGTTCACTTTTTTCATAAGGGTTTATTTTAGATGTTCCTCCAAATGGACCCTGGTAACCATAATGAGACTGTTCTAAAGCGGCCCTCTGGTTTCAGGATGTTACCCATAAGGTGGTGGAGGCCATCGGGACCATAGCGGGCTCCTCTCTGGAGCAAACCACTTGGCTCAGGAGGAACCTGGAGGTGAAAGCATCTCCTCAGATCGTTGTGGATGGAAGCAACCTGGAGGCAGACGTAGAAGGTGCTCTACTAAACATTTACTGTTAGAACCAGGAAACTGCATCAGGAAAGTACGCTCCTGTTTAATTCACTTCATCTTGGCTCTCCCATTGTGTGTGTGTGTGTGTGTGTGTGTGTGTGTGTGTGTGTGTGTGTGTGTGTGTGTGTGTGTGTGTGTGTGTGTGTGTGTGTGTGTGTGTGTTGTAGATTTAATGCTCACGGTGACTGAGGCCTCCAGCTTCACTCCCTCTGTGTACAGCGTTCATGCCCTCATGCTGTTGGCTGAGGTAAAACCCGTGTGTGACCCTTGACCCTCACACCCACCAGTCTCCAGCTCTTTTACTACTGTTTCTTGTCTTCTCCTGACCATATGTATTTACGGCATTTGTATCGGATTCATTCCTATGGTTAGCACTAGCTCCAACCCTTTTGACCGAACCAACTTAATAATGCCTGTGCTTCTCTGGCTCTGAAGCTCATAGGTGCACACGTTTCTCAGACATGACGCTCTGCAGTTTGTTTCTTTTATTTGAATGTTTTTATGTTTTTATCGAACTTGTTCAGTCTAACGAGCACGTTTTACTACCAGGTGCTGGCTCACCTGTTGGACATGGTGTTCTACAGTGATGAGAAGGAGAGGGTCATCCCCCTGCTGGTCAACATCATGCATTATGTAGTACCCTACCTCCGCAACCACAGGTGTGGGCCATTCTGCTGACCTTGCTGGTCCTTCTTGTAGCTAAGCCACAGCATGATGTAAACTGTTGAAGGTGTGTCGTTTCATGTTTTTGTCCCTTTGTTTGTTTTTGGCAGTGCCCACAATGCTCCTAGCTACCGGGCTTGCATCCAGCTGTTGAGTAGCCTAAGCGGGTACCAGTACACCCGCCGTGCCTGGAAGAAGGAGGCCTTTGACCTCTTCATGGACCACACCTTCTTCCAGATGGATGCCTCCTGCGTGAGCCAGTAAGGAAGAAAACCAAACCGTTGCTCTGCTGATGTACAAACATCAGAGATTAAAATAAGATCAGAGTCCTGATTCTCACGAGTTCTGCTGGAAATAGAAAATAGAGAACGATGGTTGAATGTATACTTTGAAAGATCAAACCCTTTGCTTGTCAGTTGTGATGCTTCCATATTATAAACATGATTAAATGCTAGAATCCATGTCACCTTTTATGCCAAAGTTAGAAACTAATCAACATAATAAATATATTAGTTATAATCCTAAGAAATCTCACAAGATCTGATGCAACCTGTTTGCACCAGTGTGAACGTCTTTCAGCTTCTGGGATATAAAACTTTAGCTCAGGATCTAGAACACCGACTGAATTTTAGCCATTTATGTGTTTTCTAGAGTCAGTTGGCTGTGGCAGCCATCTTGAACTGGATTAACTCAGAGTGGTGTTGATTTACATTCCAATAAAGTCAGTCCAGTAGTTACATTTAACACACACACACACACACACGTACGTTCATCTTTCTGATTCGGTGTGTTGTAGGACTATCTTGTGGCGCAAAAACAAAACCACTGTTTGCACGTTTGTTTGCTTCTGTTCCTAAAAATCATTTTAACTTCATCTATTCTAATTTTCAAGCTGGAGAGCAATCATCGACCACTTGATGACTCATGATAAGACCACATTCAGAGACCTCATGAGTAAGCTCCTCTTTTATCTCTCTGATTTCCAGTTTCAGAAGATGTGGCACAATTGCATGCATGTATAGTTCCCGAGCACAGCCACGGCAGCAGCTCACCACTCCCCACAGGGATGGGTCAAATGTGGAGATGAACTTCATCAGTGTGTGATGACCAATGGGACTTTAATCTTTGTCACATGATGGGCTGAACTCAGAAACAACGCACAACCCTTTGAAGTGTAAGAAAACAGCCTCCTGTAGTCTACGGTGCTGACTGTGTGTTTTGTTCTCAGCTCGGGTGGCTGTAGCTCAGAGCAGCTCTCTGAGTTTGTTCACCAACAGAGATGCTGAGCTGGAGCAGAGAGCCATGCTGCTCAAACGTCTTGCCTTTACCATCTACAGCAGTGAGGTGGACCAATACCAGAAGTACCTGCCAGACATACAAGGTAGACGCAGACCTGCAGCAGTCAGTTGTAACCTGTGATTTTGCTTAGTGAAGTTTTCCTGGTGGGTTACATTTTTTGCTCTGGGTAATTCTACGTGTCTGCTGAAATGCTGTGCGTCCTGCAGCCCTACTGACTGATGTGATGTGTGTCTGTGTGTTTAGAGCGTCTGGTGGAGAGCCTACGCCTGCCTCAGGTGCCCATCCTTCATGCTCAGGTGTTTCTTTTCTTCAGAGTTCTGCTGCTACGCATGTCACCTCAACATCTCACGTCACTGTGGCCCACCATGATCACTGAGCTGGTGAGCTTCCAGTCCCATGTAGATTCTGTCTTTGGGTTTCAAACAGAAGCTGTCAGGCTTCTTTTTTATTCCCATAGGTTCAGGTGTTTCTGTTGATGGAGCAGGAGCTAGCAGCAGATGAGGACATCACCAGGTACATTGCATCCTGGCATGCACCAGAAAAATAGCACCATACAAGCCTCCTCTTGTCCTTCTTTGTGAACTTTTCTGCTTGTCGTTGGTCTCCAGAACGTCAGGGCCGTCGGTTGCTGGGTTGGAGACCACCTATTCTGGAGGGAACGGCTTCTCCACCTCCTACAACAGTCAACGCTGGCTCAACCTCTACCTCTCTGCTTGCAAGTTCCTGGATCTGGCCTTGGCCCTGCCTCCTGAGAGCCTGCCTCAGTTCCAGATGTCAGTGCAGATAAACCTGCTTTTGCAAGAGATGGGGATGAGTGATCATTAGAAGCAGCTCAGCCACCTTTTTGTTGCAATTTTTAAAGCTTTTACAGTTCAATCATTCTTTTTAAAAATTGTGAGTGGTGCTTCGTTACAGGTACCGCTGGGCCTTCATCCCTGAGGCTTCAGATGACTCAGGGTTGGAGGTGAGACGTCAGGGGACACACCAGAGGGAGTTTAAGCCCTACGTGGTCCGCCTGGTGAAGCTGCTGAGGAAACGAGCGAAGGTCTTCTTCAAAAAGTGGAGAAAAGTGTCTGTTTCTTAAACAACCCTGTCTTCCAGGTTAACGTTTTTCTCTGCTCTGCTACATGTGTAGAAAAACCCAGAGGAGGATTGCTCGACTCGAACCCTGTCCTGGGAGCCAGGTCACTTGATGCTGACTCTCTACGTTATCCGCAGCATGGAGCAGCTGCTGCCCTTCTTCAACCTGCTTAGCCAGGTGTTTAACAGCAAGGCCAGCTGTCGATCAGGGGCCACCTTCACCCACAGCCCCGCTGACTCCTCCTTCCCCGGCAGTAAGGATGGACATAAGCTGGAGAGCCAGAAGGTCTTCTGGAGTCGAGCTCGACAGAACATCGAGGAGATGGTGGAGAAAGACTTTCTGGAGGGCCTCATCAAGACGTGAGAACAAAAGAGGAGGCGAGCTCCAATACACCTGATCACTAGTGAAAAACCTCAGCTTGTACATAAAGATCAATAACAGGATATGAAGGGTTAACACTTTGTACATGTTTTGTATTTGGAACGATTGTTTTACTTTTCAGAAGCTACTGTATTTAATTTTAATAATTGTATATATGGAGCAGCTTTTAACATTTTCAGTGATTCCTTTAGAACAAAGTGAAAATGCTGAGTCATTCCATGTTATGTGACTTAATAAAAAGTTTCTAATCAGAATCAGAAAAAGCTTTATTGCCAGCACTCCAGCGAACCAGAGCATAGGAACTTGACTCCGCAGCACAGCCTGACCAAGGTTACACACACACATGTAGACAGAACAGATACAGGCAGACCACGAGGGCAGCTATAACGGCGCTCATTTCAATAGATGAAAAGGGGATTACATGAGGATAAATTGGGGGAGGGAGAAAAAGGCATACCAGAGTTACTCCCGGTGTCGGTACAGGATCTGCTCGGGTGCAAGATCGGCTCGGGGTCCTTCGACTGCCGATGACGTCAAAGTACGGCAAACCCACTCGGCCAAAATAAACTACACATCTATACTGTTGAAAAGAATTTAGCAGTTTCGTTATTAAAATAATGTTTCTTAAGACGTAAGTTTGTGTTTATAATGGTATTTGTAAAATAAAACACTATATTGTATTCATAATGTTGAACTCCTCTTTGAGCACATCCCTTGAAGAATCATAGGTATTAGCAACACCTGTGAAATTGTATTTGCAGGAAAGAAGTGTATCCCGTTTATTGAAGTATTTTGTGTTTAGAGTTTTTGACGTCTTGTCCATGCGTATAGTTACGCTCATAGCTGCTAGCCAAAACTCTGGAGTTAAAAGTTTTCTGGCTTTACTAAAATACCTGTCAGTACTTATTTGATTGATGGTAGTTTTAATTTCTATTAGACTCCAAATGTAATCATTTGGCACGTTTCTAATTCATAATTTGTAATAATGTAATCGGCAATATTAGCATTAGCATTCCTATGGGTTTTTCCTTGTATATTAGCATTGCGCTAACCACTCGCTGCCAAATTGCAGCCTTTGCGATTAGAAAATCTCCTTTTGTCACATCGCAATTTCATTGCACATGCAGTTAATCGTTCAGCCCTAATATACATGCAGCTCTATGCTAAAAGTGTATTTTCAAAGAGGTAATGGTGGATTTCTTTGTAAAAGTTGTCCATCTTTCCAACAGAAAGATTTGCCTGGACCAACGTAACGTGATTGCGTAATTCCGTAAGGTTCATGTTCAGCCAATCAACTACTTAGATGTCATCGGCAGTCGACGGACCCCGAGCCAAGTTTGCACCCGAGCAGATCTTGTACCGACACGGCAGGGCGTAGCTTTACTATGCAAAAAACGCCTCAAACATTTAAGCATGAACGAGCGCAGAGCACATTGACACCTGTAGGTTGATGACCTCGCCAGGCTGAAGTCCACCAATCCGAAGGCGGTGGGGGGGGTAGGTCGGGTTTTCACAGCATCTGTCTGCACTCCTTCCTTCATGGGGGTTTGTTGTTGGCATTCACAACCATGGCGTCAGATTCGGATAACAAGACTTTGTTTGGGTCAGGCAGAGATAATTTTCCTCTCTGCCTTCAAGTCTGTAACTGATCATTCAAGTTCTCCAGTGAAGCCAATTCAGGTTTTAAACATCTTCATACCGTCCGGTGACCCTCTCCGAGATGACATCTATCTTGCGCACTAATACCGGTAACGCAGCTAGAACACTGTCCAGCTTACGATTAGCCTCGAGTAACGTCCCAGTCTGTGAGGTCTCCACACGGACGGTGCTTTCCGTGGGTGCGGGTCGCACTCCAATCGCTCCCGTCTTCCCAAATTTCCAGAAAACCAGATATCCTCCCACTCCTATCAGAAGAAATCCAGTGATCATCAGGCCAAACATCCACACATCTTCGACGTCCTCAATGGACAACTGGGAGAGGCATACGATCCTCCATTCTTTCCAGGAATCGAGCATATACCCCACCGGGTGTGTCCCTTGCGGGCAAGTGGGAGCTCCCTGCTCCGTTCTCATCGTTGAAAAAATCTTATCAATCACGTTGAATGACCAATTAATTAAATCCATTTCTAAAAAAATAGGGATTTTCAGGAGAAGTGCAGAGAAGTGCTCTGTGGGCAGACAGGACAAAGAGCCTTGGGGGAAAAAAAGGGAAGTGTCTGTACTCTGCGAGTGCCAGAAGAAGAAGATGGGAGCTTTACGGGTTTGTCACTGTCTTCAGGATAGAGTGTAAACATTATTTATACCAGTTGGACAAACCATGTTCTGTTTAACACAGATCAGTAACTGGATGTCCAGCAATGTTCTTGTTCTGATCGTTGCTCCACCAGAACTTCATCCCAATGTGGAACAGGCTGTTCCCTTTGCTCATCAGCCAAGCCTATCTTATCAAAATGAGGAGCTCTTCATTCTGCTTTAGGCTTCAGTTCACACATCAAATCAATCTCCCGTTTCTAAATGTAAAATGGTTCCAATCACAGATCTGGGAAAAATGATCTATGCCTGTGTCCCAACATGTCTGCGTTACTGTAATGCTGTTTCAATGAAACATTTTCATGTATCACCTCAGCATAAAAACCATGAGGGACTTCATAAGAATTAAAATTAAAAAATAAAACTGATGAAAAAAGTCGACAAAGAAGGAAAAATTTAGATGAATGTGAACGAAAAAGAAAAATGTAATCACAAGATCCCGAAAGACAGGATTTCCGAAATGCCAGCATGAATAGAAGCTAGTGAGGAAGAAGTCACACCAAAGCCAGCTTGAACATGTGAGTTTCAGCTGCTTTTTAAAGGAGACCACTGAGTCCACTGATCTCAGGCTCAGGGGGAGAGAGCTCCAGAGTCTGGGGCCACAGCAGCAAATGATCTGTCACCTTTGGTCTTTAGTCTGGTGCGCTGCACAACTATTAGGCTTCAGTCACTGGACCTCAGAGACCTGGTGGGGGTGTAGCGACTGAGAAGATCACCAATGTATGATGGTGCTTGTCCATGTAAGGCCCTAAAGACCAGAACCAGGATCTAGAAGTTAACCGGCACCCAGTAAAGGCTTAAACCCCCAAATGGCTCCCGAGCACGGCTGTGTCTGCAGCTCACCACCCCCCCAGGGGAAGGCTCAAATGCAGAGAACAACTTTAAATTGGCTAGAGAAGCGGGGTGATGTGGTGTGCTACAGCGGTTTGGTCAGAAGCCAAGCATGTGCGTTCTGAATCACTTGTAAACGGTTTAGACAAGTGAAACACTGGTCTGAACTAATCGTCCCTCTCATGCTTTCAAGCCATTCAAAATGCAGCCAGACTCTTAAAAAAATCCAAAAGGGGATTCATGTAATCCCAATTGTACGCTATCTACACAGGCTCCCTGTAGGCTCTAGAATCCATTTTAAAGCTTGTGTACAGAGTTCTGAACAACCAGGCACCTGCCTATCTCAGCGTTACTGCCTCATGCAACCTCCGTTCCACATCCCAAAGTCGTCTCCGTGCCCTGGCTCCCAGACCTGTTTCTTTTCCACTGATCCTTTCCCAGTTTTTAACAGTTGTTTATACTCTTAAGTAAAAGTTTCCACACAATTTGCAAAATTCTACTCCAGTGAGCAAAACACCTCCACACATTTACACAACAGTACACACAGTGTCTGCTCCACCCTTTTTGCAAAATATTACATAGAGTGATTTGTAGAACACACATTTTCACACCTTACACACAGATAAGGATTGTGAGGTCACTTCCTTGTCATTACAAAGCCCCAGATTGCCAATGACCACACCAGTGAAACAACGGGATAGTCTCATCCACAGGTGTGGAAGCACACGTGCTAATTTGAAAATGCACCACTCAGGTGTATAAAGGCAGCGGGTGAGTTCACTTGTCTTCAACAAAAATGGAAGAGTGAGAATGCGAGGGGGAGCTCAAAGAGGAGATGAAGGGGGTAGAGAAAAAGGAGGAGGAAGAGAAGGAGGTAGAGAAAAAGGAGAAGGATGTAGAGGAAGAAGTAGAGATGGGTTTGAAGCTGATAGAACCTGAACAAGTAAGACGAGCACCAAATCTGACTCATGAAATCTGTACAACACTTATTGACCATGTTACCAACCATGGACTGACACTGATGCAAGGACTAACCAAATCTCAGTAGAAATATTGTGTCATCAAGAGCCTATTTAGCTACCCAGTACATTGAAACAATCAGTATTGTTTACGGTGACATTTGACATTAGGCTGCATGTGTATTCATTTTACAGCAATAAATCTTTTACATAGGATTGAGGGTCGAGGACACCAAGGTGGAAGGGCCCCTATGTTCACTCGTGCACAGAAAGCTGCCATTGTGAACATGGTCTTGACCAATAATTGTATCTGGCTGTGAGAAATCTAAGCCAATATCAGCGATGACCATATTTTCAATGACTCAATGAGTCGCTCTGTCAACTTTGGGTCGAATACTCAAGAAAAATCAAATATACATGAAGCAACTGTATCGGGTACCACTTGACAGCCATTCAGAGAGTCAAACATCTGTGAAATGAGTATGTGGAGGTATGCAATGTTCATCTTACTGTGGTGTGGTATTTTGCACTGCTTACAATGGTCTTGTACAAACAAATACTGTGCAACAGATATTGAACAGCATGTTCTTGTATTTTACTCCGTTTCAGGGGGAAATTCAACATGAATTTATGCATGTGGATGAGGCTGGATTTAACCTAGCAAAAACAGGGAGAAATGTAGCTGGACAGTGCAATGTGCCGGAGTAGCGAGGGGGTAACTTCACTCTTTGCCCCGCTATTATCCAAAACGGGGTCTTCCACCACCATGCATATCTGTTACTTGGATTTCTTGACATATTGCATGAATGTCACAGCATTACACCAAGAGGGCCAGATGCAGTACATTGGTATTTGGGAAAATGTCTCATTCCATTGGGCTGTTGTGGTCCAGAATTGGTTCTATGGGCATCCTGAATTTGACGTCTTGTACCTACCCCCATACTCCCCTTTCTTGAATCTGATAGAAGAGATTTTTTCAGCATGGCGGTGGAAGGTATACGACCTGCGGCCCTATGACCGTATGCCCCTCATTGAGGCCATGGAGCAGATTAAAGCTGATGTTGTGTCCTTGCCCCTTGACGCCAGCGTTCGGCAGGTTTTGCCTCCGTCAGTGCACCCAGGGCAGCTGTGGCTACATCGTAGCTCATCCCAACCAGCGTGTGAATGACTTGTGTTGTGAAGGGCCTTGTAGAACTTTTTCCTTCTTGTGCTTGCTCCTGATCTAGATTTCCATTTGGATGTAATCTCACCACCTCCATGGATCCACCTGTCAGATCCTTTGACCACTGGTTGGTCAGATGCTGTCTGCTGTCAATCATTGCAGGAACGTGCACAGTGTCTCTTTTAGCCTGGGCTGATGTACATGTGGCACGCTTCATGACCGTGATGCACCTCCTTTGCACATTTGGAGAGAATGCATCCTTGTGTCTCTTCTTTGGGCTGTGCTCTAAAAGCTGGAGCACCAGACATTTGTGACGCCTTCAGGCCTGGCTTCAGAGGGATGCCCTGGTGACCCACGCCAAGGCTTAGGGAACGTGGTTTCCAAGGATATTGTTAAAGGGCTCTTTGGGCTGCAGTTTGTACGATTCACCTAGGACCTGCTTGTCAGAATCAGATCAATTACATTCATAGCTGAATCTAGTATCTCAAGGCTCTGCTACAACACAGGTTTACACCATACATATTATACTATTCACTAATCAGAACCCTACTTGCCCAATGTGGTCTCTTTGCTGCTGCTAGATCAGTTTCTCAGTTATGTAGTGTTGCATCAAACTATTATTAAAACTATAAAACACTGGCCTTTAGGCCACAAAATTCATTGACTTGATAATTAATTGAACTGAAGGAAAAGTTCAACTTGTGGTTTTATTTGGTAATATGGCAGCAATATCCCTCGAGAGTCGGAGCCAAAGTAAACGGGCATGACTCGCGCTACCCTTTATGGTGTGGGCTGTTTTAGCACAGATGGATGTTTAATGTAATAGAAGTCGGAGTTTGTATTCATTACTCTGTTGCTGAAGCCCTCTGTCCCCCTTCCAGTATTTTAACTGGAGCACCTTTTTGGCTGCTTAACTCAAAACAAATTAGTCCCAACCTTTTACTTCAGAACATACATTGTTGGTTTTTGTAATAATTTACCTGCATCTTGAAGTCAAAGAAAATAATTTAAGGATCTAAATTATTTTCATTAAGTTAGTTTTATAACTTTTGATTATTACAGCCAGAATCTGCATTTTAATGTCAGCCATTAATTTCGTTTTAAAATTTCTTTAAGCAAACACCTGTTAACCCCTAAAAGCTAAAGCAAATCTCCACTTAATTTGATCTCATGTCTCATGTCAAATCTATCATGATTATTAATGACACAAAGCAATGAACAAACAGTTTTTATTGAACACTTTACAACAATGTATGTATGGGGAGGAAAAACGTTAATCTTGTCATGTTTTAAAATCATACAACTTTAGTTTTCAGTGTCCAATTAACTTTGTATAATGAACTCTAAGATTCAAAATGCCACGATCTTCAGTTACACTTTAAAAATGATAACATATTTACAATAAAAGAAATGTATGAGGGGTGTTCACCTACACAAGTGCCTCTATAATGAGACAAGCCTGCTCAACTCATGGAATTTAAACGATTCAGTGCACAGATCCGGACATGGATCGTGCTCCTCAGCGCCTGCTACGACGGGACGGGGATGCTGACCTGAAACAGAGGTGGGTGGTATAACATTAATGACACATTCGGTTTTTTGCACTGCAGTCTTCAAACAATATCTCATTCCCATAAACCATTCCGTCAGGGAACACCTGTAGAGAATATAGTGACATCTAATGTGGAGCAGATTCTACAGCAGTAGGTCCACCATGCAGAAAACAGCAACTAATACACAACTGTCACCAAGACACATTCTCCTAGTTTGTTCAAGAGGCTGATTCACTCGTCAGTAAAGGGTTAATGAAATCAGATGGAGGTAAAGTGACTCATTCGTCTGTGGGAAACGTGCAGCTATAACTGAACCCTTTCTTACATCGTACTTGGGTTCACACCAGACTGTTGCAGCAAGTGACAGAACTATCTTGTGCTTCAACATTTCTGTTAAAAATAGAATTTTTCAAAGACACACAAACATATAGTAATGAAAAAGAGAAGAAAAGGAATACTACCTTGATCGTGACTTAGACTTGTGTTTGCGGCTTGCCTTCTTACCAGACTTGTGAGATTTTTCCGTCGACCTTGAACGACTGCGTTTGGATTTTTTAGATTTTTTTTCCTTGCTTACTTCAGGGGTGGGGGACCTGCTAGAGTCCGAGTCTGAGTGTCTCTTGCTAGCTTTGCTTGAGCCCTTCTTGGAGGTTTTGCTATCTTGTCGAGAGCGTTTGTCACTCTGGGATTCTGAGCGTGAATCACTTTCTTTCCTTTTTTTTGATTTGCCATCTTCTTCTGTTGCAGAGCTTCCCTTCTCTTTAGCTCTATCTTTCTTTCTATCCATTTCCTTTTCTCTTTCCTTGTCTTTATCCTTTTTCTTCGTTTCTCTCTCTTTGTCATGGCTTCGACTCCTGTCTCTCTCCCTGTGTCTGTCTTTGCTGGAAGCCTTTTGTTTGCGTTTGTTGCTGCGACTATGACTGCTATCTCTGTGCTCTCGGCTCCTTTTCTTCTCTTTATCCCTCCCTCGGTCTCTGCTGCGACTGCGGCTATCCCTGCCTCTCGCCCTGCCTCTACCTCGGTCTTTGGATCGGGATCTACTCCTGCGACTCCTGCGCTCTCTGGACACACTGCGGTCCTTCTTGTGGCGGCCCGATCGCACTGCACTGCTCCTCCTCCGGTCCCTGCCCTTATCACTGCGATGCCTATGGGAACTGCGACTTCGGCTGCACCGGCGACCCTTACGGGATGAAGAACGACTACGCCTCCTTTTCCGCCGAGGGGACGAGGACCGAGAGGAGCTTCGGGAAGACGCTGAAGAAGAAGAGGATGAGGAGGAAGAGCGGGAGCTGCTGTGGCTGGAGGTGGAGTGGGAGCTGCTGCTGCAATCGTTGGCTGGAGAACTGCTGCCACTTCTCCCTGACTGCTCCTTCCCTTTGGCTGAATGCTTGCCCTCATCACTGCGTGACACTCGCCTGTCTACCAAGGGCTCTGGCTCTCTCTCCTTTACTTCCTGTTTGTGTGTGTTTTCTAACGGATTCTCATACTCCCCCTTTTCTCTGCTCAATCTCTCCTTAGCCATCTCCTCTGTGAAACACAAACAGACACCAGTTACAAACATGGAACCAAGCTGTTATTAGGGCTGCTAGGATTAACCGATTTGACTAATAACCACGGTGTGAAATGCTGCAGTTAACCCACTGTAAAGACGTCTCCAACACTGCAAAAAATAAATAAAAATTTGCGGACCAAAGCGAAAGTGAAACTGAAAGAATACACACAGCAGAACCAGCGTCAACAACCACTGGCGTTTTAGTGCGTTTTTACTGTTTTTTGAAGAGTCCCAGAACATTGTGCTCTATAATCATGTAAACGCCAAAACTACCAAAAGAAAGAATAGACTCACTTTTTACATCAGAAGGAATCAGCGTGTTTCTAGAGTTATCCGTTCTTTCATAATCTGTTTTCCGGTTCGCACCTCGCTTTTTTTTACAGCAGTGGCACAAAACGATCTCTTAATTCATGGATTTTCTGCTTCCTGATCACGTGAGACGCACACAGGTGAAGATCAGCTTTAGAGCCGTGATCTCATGGTGCGGGGGCTCGTTCCGAAGCCCGCCTCGTAAAAAAATGCAATAATCATCAATGACGGTAAATGACTTAATAATTCTTTCTGATAATCAGACACTTTGAATTTTTCGTGCTGGTTGAACATGAAAACAGTCTCCTACACCCATCTCACCCATGATGTAAAACATCAGCATTGCAAATCAGTAGTAGAGTGAATTTTTCTAAGCAAAATCTTGGAAAAGGAACAATAGAGATTTCAGGGGTTCAAAATTTTTATAGAATGTAATCATGCCTTTCATCAATAATTTATAGAATGTGTTTGTGATTGTTATGTGTTAACATAGATGTGAAATCAATTCATGCAAAATAACAGTGGTAATCGTGAAACCGTGTTTATTTCTCAGAATATAATCATACCACCAAAACTTATAAACCGGTTAATCCTTACTCAGCTTAGACAGTCTGAGCTTTCAGAGCTGTACAGTGCAACATATATGTTGCACGTGCAATAACCTATTTAGACACAGCACTCATGCAACATGTTTTCAAGTTACTTTTTCCCACAAAACTTTTAGTTGCTTTTTTGTGTAAGGAAGACGCAACAGGCAAAGCCATGGCATGCCACTATGCCAAAGAGCAGCTGTAGTCTATTGTGATAGCCAAGTGTTACCTTGTCAGTAGGGATGCACTGAAATGAAAATTCTTGGCCAAAACCAAAAATGAGGAAACCAAGGCCAAAAACCGAAACATCAAAGATATTCACTCATCAAATGTCGCTGCAGCAATAGTCTGTGTGCTACATGAGCGTAAACACGCAAGAAGAAAAATAGGCTGGACAGTCGCAGTTGAGGTGAAACTGAAAGTAAAAAGTGCATTGCATAATTGACATGAATATTTCGGCGATCGTAATAATTTTAAAGATTTTAGTTTTGACATTAGAACGAACGTCTGATTTTTGTGAAGCAAAGAGAAGGTTGAGAGCGGAGCGAGATGAAAGGAAAACGGGGTGCCCCTGACGGTCTGCTTCGGCTCTGTTGTTTCGGTGATTTAGCGGTTTCGGCTGTGATTTTTGGTGGTTGAATTTTTGGTGCATCCCTACTATTCAGTACAATTTTAAGTACATTTTGACAATGGTATTGTCTTTAGACAATAATAATAATAACAGTGTTCTCGCAAACCCTGAAGCAACACCTGCCAAACAGGCAACCAGACAGACTGCCGAATTTAAATGATGTCTCCTTACATAACAAAAATGGTCTGGCTGACGCAATCACTCCCATGGTGGGAGAGTGGCGAGGAGGAGGCAAGAGAGAACCACATGCTAGGGTCAGACAGCTAACGATTATTTCATGCGTCATAATGATTTGTCAAGCACTGAAAAACACAGGGATGTGATTGGGTTAAGTGAAAAAAAACGGCCAGGGTGTTGGGGCCGTCTTAGGCTAGGGTGAAAGGGAAACGCCCCCGTGAGGGGCTGGGGAGCAAAGCCCTCGGTAGCTGGAGAATTTTCACCAATCTTAAGCGTGTTTCTTGGCTCTCTGGGGCATGTTTTATAAAAAATTGTCCCTGCTATTTACCCACAGTAAGCCGCCATTTGTCGTCAATATCTCCATTCACGCGTGCGCAGCGCTGACTTTCTGTCAGTTTCCTCTATGGGCGCTGCCATTTTAAACATCATTATCACGCATGCGCCTAGCAACGTGTACCCGTCCCTTCTATGATGCTTTCTATCAAACAATCAGGGAACACGCAGCCAGTCTTGTTTTGTATCGATCGTGGGCAGGAAAATTTCAGAGTAATTTTTGAGTGGGACATGAAAAAATGGCTGTGTCTTGCAATAGCAAGATGGGCGTCCATCATGAGCAAGTTCACTGAAAAACCAGCCAATCAGAGACTAGGTGTCAGAAAATCAGGAATTAATACAGAGAAAGACTCCAGATCCTGCTCTTTTCTACTCCCCTCGCCTCCAACTAACTTCTGGTTCCTGAAACAGGAGCACCAGAGCTGGCCTCCACAGAGATCCACTCACAAGGCATTCTAGACAGATGAGGCATACAGAGACCGCTAGATGTGTTGGGAAAAAGGGAAACAAGTGAACTTGGCATTTCAATACATAATGTTGTACAAGTACCACAACCTCTCTGGAACCTTTTCACAATAAAGAGAGAGAGCACCATCTACAAATAAAATGTCAAAATATAATTTGACTAAGTTACATGATGTGGAAGATATTAAAAATCCACACATTTTCATTAAAAGCCCACTTAATAATGGAACTAATGTGTATGATCTAATAGGACAATCCTGGGGTGACTAAGTTATATAAATGTAACAATGTTGATTTATCTTCTGTAGTCTGTCACTTAGTGACCAGTTGTGATCAGCAGCTACACCAACAGATGATCAGACCTGCTGCATCAGTGTCACAACCTGGTGAAACATTAGAGACTAGGATGAACATCAGTCATAATTACGACCTAAAACTAACTTCAGGATAGTTTCATCTTGCTTTTCATGGTGATGATGTAGATGATGTAGATGTTTAAAACGCCAAAGCTTTTGGGACACTTTTCTTTTAAATCATTCTAAGACATTAACTTTAATCTGCTGCTCATCTTAAATGTTAAATTGATTCATAGTAGATGTCTGGAGAAACTATCCAGTCTGCCTAATAAAAGATCAAACGACCACCTATTAGGTTTTTAAGGATTTGAGATTTCTTAAAACTTAATTCCTACTTCCTACAGTTGGATCGGCGAAACGGACAGCCCCGCCCCGTCGGAAAAGCTTGTGTGGGGCGTACCAATTTGAGGAATAGGAGATGTTGTATTGTGGTTTAGATTTTGATCGATAGTGTTCTAGGGCACGACTTTATGCTGTCCCCCCGGGATTTCAGCCTACGATTGTGGGTCTCTGAAAATAAATTGCAACTTTTAAGCCCCAAACAGAGCCACCCCCCATATATATATGTATGTATGAAAAACATTCTCATTGAATTTGCATTTAGAGGTGCCCCAAATTGCAAGAAAATTCCGGAAATACAGTAAAAACTGAAAAAATCCCATCCCTGAAAACAGGCAAGGAAGCCTGCAGGCCACCATAACTTAGTAAAAATTAACCTTAACCCTAGTAAGAAAACACGAGAAACGCCCAAATTAGTTTATGTGTTAACAGGCTAACACGGAAAACAGTTGCATGTAGTTCTTAGTGGAATGGAAGTGTGAAAAGAAATTGGAGACATTTAACAGTCCTCAATCCATCTGATATGGGGCCCAGTAGGCGGTAGGGCCGGGACGATAATCAATAATTCAGTTGTACGATAGATGACCTGCATGTCAACCACACCCCCGTTAGCGCTGTTTTAGGCGTATGACTCGCATTGCTAGAGGAAGTCACAGCTGAAGTTGAAGCAGAACAAGAGCCAAAAGAATGGATAAGATGAACAAAGACGAACGCATCAAACTGCGAAGGAGGCTAGAGATCGGTGTTTTCAGAAATTGTCTACAATCAATAACGTTGATCTGTTCGACCTCAAAGGGAAGAAACGGAGCTCAGACATTTCATTACTGCTTAAAATACATCGCTTGAGTAAGTTAAATAAAGGTTTAACTGTTGCCTTTTAAAGGGTGTACCTGCATTATTATGATATATTAACATTACATAAGTGGTTATTGTGGTCTCAAAAATGTCGACAATAATATCGTTTATCGCCAATAATTTGTTGGACAATATATTGCCCAGCAAAATTTGCTATTGGCCCAGGCATAGTAGGCGGGCATACTTTAAAAGCTCTTTCGTGATTGGTGGTTAATGGAGAATTGACCCAATAACAGTCTTAAAGGGCAAAGTCCATACGAATTAGAACTTCTACAACAGTTCATCTTTAGTAACTGAATCCTCTTCAACACAACTTTATAGACAACCACATCCCATTTGAAATGATTGAAGTTAAATAGAAAGGCTGACATTGATCCACCTCCAACTGCTGCAGGACCTGGTTGGTTTGCCTCATGAATAAGATGAAGGGGATTTCAAGCCAGGCTCATCCATGCATCAGTTCACAGAGTCCCAACATGAAAATCCACTTTGTTTGTCTATTCTCACATTTCTATTGTAATTAAGTGCTGGGATCAAATATTGAGTATTCTTTTATTTGCCTTTCCAGTTAAACAATCAAACAAATGACATGATTAAATGCTGAGGTTAGAGTTAGGCTTTGGAACAATTAGAAAAGAAAGATTCAACTGAAAAACTTTAAAGTGTTGAACCTTCATTTAATCAATACATTTGCAGGGGTCTCTAGTAGGAATGAAGGCCTTGTAAGTCGTACATGGGGGAGGGGAAATATATTGGTGCACCATTTCCAGGAACTAGAAGTGACCCACATCACAGCTGAACTTCAGACGGCAGGTTTTGGTCTTATTTCTTGACATTTGGACATCTCGCCTCAGATTGGATAACAGCAATGCAACTCTATGACTGACCTGCAATGTGGAGGTTTTATCTCCACAAATAACAAGCCTGGAGGAGCTTCTGCTGTGTGGTGAAGTTGCCAATGCTAACAGTTATCTTCTACTAGTCGAGACTTTTACTGCAGTTCCCTGGACATTTAAACAACAGCCTTCCTCGTAATGAGTCCAGATGGGTGAGTCCATGAATGTTAGTGACAGTGTGACGTAGATCTGTCAGGCTTTTCTAATCCTAGAGTTTCACCGTCTGTTTTCTATCAGAAGCTAAAGCAGCAGATAGGTGTAGGAGACTATTTTCCTGTTCCGCCTGCATAAAAAAACTCAGTGACCGATTATAATCAGGAATGATCATTAAAAAATGGGTTTTCTGTGTTCCACACCTTTAATGGTTAAAACATTATAAAGTGATGTTTTTAAGTTTCAAATGCAAACAGACTTTCTTACCACGTGCAAGTAGAGCCTCTTGTGCTTGTTTTTCCTGCAACATCTGCATCTCTCGCTCTTTGCGGCGGAAGGCATCCTGCTTCTCCCGAATGCGATGGTGCAGCTCTTCATCGTCTGTGTCAGAAGACTCCGATCCTCGAACACTGCGCTCGTCCTCCTCCTCGCTCTCGTCTGAACCATAATCACCAATACCACCTGCCACAAGAGACCGCAGGTTGTTCAGTGTTTATAGAAAGATCAATTTTCACAACGTTTTAATTGAGAAACAATCTCAACACAAAGTCCTTATGAAAGGCACTTAATCCTGCCTCAGTCTATCTTTTACACCAACCAGACCGTCAACATGAGCAGTAATGTAAAACGCATGCTTGTGCATAACTAAAAAGCAAATCTGACGCCATGTTTGCCTTAAATGATCTAAATTTTTGTTACTGGGTGTCGTGTCATAGCCCCCACCCCATGTTTCTTCAAACACTGCATCGTAAATACAAACATTTCCCTCCCCCCAGTGACAGAAATAGGGATACTCACTGAGACCAGTCAGAGAAGCCAGTGCACTTGACTGTGCCAGCTGTTTTGCAGGAGCTTTGATTCACATCAACAACAGGAACAACATGTTAAAACACATACTGCCATTGTCTCAAAGGCATGAGAGCTGCTAGAGGAGGTCACAGACAAAGCACTATTCACAAGAGCTGTTGTTGTTGACAAAAGAAAATAAGTCAAATAAAAAAAACAAAAATAGAGAGAGAAGAGAGGGTTAACAAACACACTTGTGTCAATCAATCCAAGTCAAGCAGTTGGACAGGAGAGGAATGACCAATCTGTACTAATGCTCAGTAACTCTGTAAGAGGAAGTGCCCTGCATGTCTAGGTGAGTACTGGTCAGTCTTTACTGAGACTTCAGCCATTCAGCAGGACCTTCTGTACCAACATCAGCATGTGTGCAAATACATCTGCTTTCTTCCTCTGGTGCATTAGCAGAGAATGGCTGAAATTATTTTCAGACTAAATCCTGCTGCCTTTCATTACAGGGTCCAACGTGGGTTTTGTATGATTATTATGAACATAGATTCTCTTCAGTCTGAAACGATCTGTCTTGGTGACAAGCAGAGATGATGCGTAAACTGAGAATAGACATAAGCAGACCTCGTGTGGCTTTTCTGCGAGTGTCTCTGGCCACATGCAGGATCTCTTCATTGGTGACGGTAAGGAGGATCTCCGTCAGGAGTGTCTTAGTGAGTCCCATCTGTTAAAGAAAACAAACATTTCAAAACTGTTCTCACCTCTGGGAAACGGCTCACCATGGCAACAAACAGCTGGTAGACCTCACCAGGAGCTCTTCTTTTAAGTCCTCACTCATTTCTGGTTCGCTATCTTCTGCAGGCGGAGATGGGCTCTTAACGGGAAACTCTTTTTTAACGGAGATCTTTTCATCATCCTCATGGTCATTTCCCTCATCATCGCTGTCCTGGTTTTAAAACACAGAAAACTTGAGTAATTAAAACAACAACACCTTCTGGGGTACAAGACCGTAAAGACGTTGCTTACAAATTTACTCTTGCGGGGTAAACGTGGCCCATCCCCGTCCTCATCAACGTCATTCTTTTTAGGATCATCTTTCGCCATTTCTGCACGCTCCTTCTCCATTCGCTCTCGCTCCATCTTCTTCTGCTTCTCCCTGTCCATCTTTTCGAGACCCTCTCTGATCCACGCTGGTAAGGTGCGTCGTTTCACCGCATCTGAAAACGGCAAAATGAGGAATCAGATTTACAGTCAGGTCCATAAATATAGGGACATCGACACAATGCCAACATTTTTGGCTCTATACACCAACACAATGGATATCAAATGAAACACACAAGATGTACTTTAACTGCAGACTGTCAGCCTTTATTTGAGGGTATTTACATCCAAATCAGGTGAACGGTGTAGGAATTACAACAGTTTGCATATGTGCCTCCCACTTGTTAAGGGACCAAAAGTAATGGGACAGAATAAGAACCATAAATCAAACTTATACATTTCAATACTTGGTTGCAAATCCTTTACAGTCAATTACAGCCTGAAGTCTGGAACACATAGACATCACCAGACGTTGGGTTTCATCCCTGGTGATGCTCTGCCAGGCCTCTACTGCAACAGTCTTCAGTTCCTGCTTGTTCCTGGGGCATTTTCCCTTCAGTTTTGTCTTCAGCAAGTGAAATGCATGCTCAATCGGATTCAGGTCAGGTGACTGACTTGGCCATTGCAAAACAGTCCACTTCTTACCCTTCAAAAACTCTTTGGTTGCTTTAGCAGTATGCTTTGGGTCATTGTCCATCTGCATTGTGAAGCGCCGTCCAATGAGTTCTGAGGCATTTGGCTGAATATGAGCAGATAATATTGCCCGAAACACTTCAGAATTCATCGTGCTGCTTTTGTCAGCAGTCACATCATCAGTAAAGACAAGAGAACCAGTTCCACTGGCAACCATACATGCCCACGCCATGACACTTCCAGCACCATGCTTCACTGATGAGGTGGTATGCTTGGGATCATGAGCAGTTCCTTTCCGTCTCCATACTCTTCTCTTCCCATCACTCATCTGTCCATAAGATGTTGTTCCAGAACTGTGAAGGCTTTTTTAGATGTTGTTTGGCAAACTCTTATCTGGACATCCTGTTTTTGGGGCTCACCAAAGGTTTACATCTTGTGGTGAACCCTCTATTCACACTGGTGGAGTCATCTCTTGATTGTTCACTTTGACACAGATGCACCTACCTCCTGGAGAGTGTTCTTGATCTGGCCAACAACAGTGAAGGGTGTTTTCTTCACCAGGTAAAGGATTCTTTGGTCATCCACCACAATTGTTCCATGGTCTTCCGGGTCTTTTGGTGCTGAGCTCACCGGTGCGTTCCTTCTTTTTGAGAATGTTCCAAACTTGTTTTGGCAATGCCTAATGTTTTTGCTATCTCTCCGATAGGTTTCTTTTGTTTTTTCAGCATAATGACGGCTTGCTTCACTGATGGTGATAGCTCTTTGGAACTAATCTTGACAGTTGACAGCAACAGATTCCAAATGCAAATAGCAAACTTGAACTTATGACCTTTTATCTGCTCATTGTAATTGGAATAATGAGGGAATAACACACACCTGGCCATGGAACAGCTGAGAAGCCAACTGTCCCATTACTTTTGGTCCATTAACAAGTGGGAGGCACATATGCAAACTGTTGTAATTCCTACACCGTTCACCTGATTTGGATGTAAATACCCTCAAATTAAAGCTCACAGTCTGCAGTTAAAGCACATCATGTTTGTTTCATTTGATATCCATTGTGGTGGTGTACAGAGCCAAAAATGTTAGCGTTGTGTTGATGTCCCAATATTTATGAACCTGACTATTAGGGCTGCAACAAACGATTATTTGGATAATCGATTAATCGGATGGGGTCTCGACACGATTAATCGATTAATCGGATTACATGGGGACATTTTTAAAAACTGCTAGGGAAACGTTATTTCTCTCCTTCCTTCACTTTATTTAACACAACATTATTAGAAAACAGTTCAATGGCAGAAAAACAACATGCCATCACCTAAATTGTCTTATAAGGTGTATAGACAGAGACCCTAAGCTACATCTATCTGTGACCTAAAATGCTTGGTCCAAGTTAAACAGCTTAAGGGCAATTCTCATCTGTTTTGTTTGATCTCGTCTGTTGACATTTATTTTAAATGTAATTAAACATAGGCTGTGAATTAATCAAAATTGATCACTATTTCCAAAAATGATTGAAAAAATACCAAATAAAACAAAAGTAAATGAATGCCATCCTCCTTGCGATGATGCCCTGGGCAACTGCCATAAAGTCACATAAAGAAATGCTGCTGATCATTCCAATGATCCCAAATAGACTCACATTAGGCCACATGAAAGCAACTGAACCCAAAAATATATTAACCAGTATATAACTGCACTCTCACACAACACGCCTGCAGCAACAGTTAGGACTCCTCCCTCCCTTTTAAAAGCGTTTTTGCTTCCGAGGACATTGTGGTTGTAAAATCACATGCTAGTAGTCTGGCCCCGGTGTGATCAACCAGTTTCTGCGGGAATGTGATGGCGGAACCAGGGCCAGATTAACACTTTGTTGTACCCTGGGCAACAATATTCAAGGGCTCCATCATCACGACCCGAGGATCACCATAATGTGGTCACATACAGAATATTTTACTGTAATATGCAGTAAATATACTCAATACTTGAATGCCTGACAACACGTAACCCGCCCAGAGTAACCTTTGACCCACCTCGTGTGGACTGACCAATGAGGAGAGGGTCTTAACTTGAGGTCCTCTCTTCATTGGTCAGTCTGCATGAGACTGACTCTCAACTGACGTTCAAAGTCATAGGCAGCGAAGCGTCTCTGTGCAGCGCAAAAGCCCGGGTGGACAGTTTGTTTAATGTAGGGTGATCATATTTCCATTTCCAAACAAGAGGACAGGGGATCTGTGCCTATGACGTCACACTATGGCAACGCCACACAAACCATGTTGGGACCCATTTTTTGTAAGAACTAAATTAATATCAGATTCTGCCAATAAAAGGGCTCTAAAACAATTCATATGTAAATATTTTGCATATTTAATGCAAAATCTAATTTTTCTGCTTTAGTGCTGCAACAAGGTTTTATTAATAATAAATTATTATACCTTTTGTTTTACTACAGCATCGGTAAGCTTCATGTGCACAGATTATTAAGGATGCTTGTTTCAGCTGTGAGATTAGACGATAGGATCAATGAAAAAATAAGTTGTCACACACTCCATGGAAACTTTCAGAGAATCCACAAATAGTGGCTTTCAAATAGTTTTGTTACTTTTTGCAAGTTTAGAAAAGAAGCAGATGAGACAGCGTGTCTGATAATTTAGTTTTTCATCTGATAATATTAGAACATGTCAGTAATGTCTGAGGGGCTTTTATAAACACCGTATAACTAACACTCCTGGAGAGGGTATGAATTACACAGAGGCTTCTGGGGAGCCCAGTTATGGGGTGGGGGTGGGTGGGGGCATTTTGCCTTGGCCCCCAAAATGTCTTGAAACGGCCCTGGGTGTGTGACTGAGTTTTGAAGGTGATCTGAATTGTATCAGATGTATAAATATGACATGTGTATAACTTAGAGAACTTATAACTCCTCCTTGAACCGTCACCTTATCGTGGTGGAGGAGTTTGAGTGCCCTAATGATCCTAGGAGCTATGTTGTCTGGGGCACTTAGTGCCCCTGGTAGGGTCTTCCATGACAAATTGGTCTTAGGTGAAGGGTGAGACAAAGAACGGTTCGAAGGATCTTTCATGGCGGTTAAAACGAAGAGTCGGAGTACCCGGCCCGGAGGGTTACCGGGGTCCCACCCTGGAGCCAGGCCTGGGGTTGGGGCCCGTGAGCGAGCGCCTGGTGGCCAGGCTTTCGCCCATGGGGCCCGGCCGGGCCCAGCCCGAACCGGATACATGGGCTCGTCCAACTGTGGACCCACCACCCGCAGGAGGAACATGAAGGGTCCGGTGCAATGCGAATCGGGTGGCAGACCAAGGCGGGAGCCTTGGCGGTACAATCCCCGGACAAGAAAACTAGATTTTGGGACATGGAACGTCACCTCGCTGGCGGGGAAGGAGCCGGAGCTTGTGGCAGAGGTTGAGCGGTACCGGCTAGATACAGTCGGACTCACCTCGACACATTGCATTGGCTCTGGAACCCGAGACCTGGAGAGGGGTTGGACACTCTACTTTGCTGGAGTTGCTCCGGGTGAGAGGCGGAGGGCTGGGGTTGGCTTTTTGTTAGCCCCGAGACTCTCTGCCTGTGTGTTGGGGTTTACCCCGGGGGACAAGAGGGTAGCTTCCTTGCGCCTTCGGGTCGGGGAACGGGTCCTGACTGTTGTTTGTGCTTATGGGCCAAATATCAGTTCAGAGTACCCACCCTTTTTGGAGTCCCTGGGACGAGTGCTAGATAATGCTCCATCAGGGGACTCCATTGTCCTGCTGGGGGACTTCAATGCTCACGTGGGCAATGACAGCTTGACCTGGAGGGGTGTGATTGGGAGGAACGGCCCACCTAATCTGAACTCGAGCGGTGTTTTGTTATTGGACTTCTGTGCAAGCCGCAGTTTGGCCATAACGAACACCATGTTCGAACATAAGGATGCCCACCGGTACACTTGGTACCAGGGCAGCCTAGGTCACAGGTCGATGATAGATTTTGTAGTCGTATCATCTGACCTGCGGCCGTATGTTTTGGACACCCGAGTGAAGAGAGGGGCGGAGCTGTCAACTGATCACCACCTGGTGGTGAGTTGGATCAGATGGCAAGGGAACATGCCGCGTAGACCCAAACGCAAAGTGAGGGTCTGCTGGGAACGCCTGGCAGAAGAACCTGTCAAGACGGTCTTCAACTCCCACCTCCGGCAGAGCTTTGACCACGTCCCGAGAGCAGTGGGGGACATTGAGTCCGAGTGGGCCTTGTTCCACTCTGCGATTGTCGAGGCGGCTGTTGCTAGCTGTGGTCGTAAGGTGGCCGGTGCCAGTCGTGGTGGCAACCCCCGTACCCGCTGGTGGACACCAGAGGTTCGGGGAGCCGTCAGGCTGAAGAAGGAGGCCTACAGGGCGTGGCTGGTCTGTGGGTCTCCGGAGGCAGCAGACAGGTACCGGATAGCCAAGCGGGGTGCAGCAGTGGCAGTTGCCGAGGCAAAATCTCGGGCGTGGGAGGAGTTTGGTGAGGCCATGGAGAAAGACTATCGATCGGCTCCAAAGAGGTTCTGGCAAACTGTCCGGCGCCTCAGGAGAGAAAGGCAGCAACTCGCTCACACTGTTTACAGTGGGGATGGGGAGCTGCTGACGTCAACTGAGGCTATAGTCGGACGGTGGAAGGAATACTTTGAGGAGCTCCTCAATCCCACCAATGCGCATTCCGAGGAGGAACCAGAGCTGGGAGGCCTGGGGATGGACTGTCCGATCTCGGGGGCAGAAGTTGCTGAGGTAGTCAAACAACTACACAGCGGCGGAGCCCCGGGGGCGGATGAGGTTCGTCCTGGATATCTCAAGGCTATGGATGTTTTAGGGCTGTCATGGTTGACACGTCTCTACAACATTGCGTGGTCATCGGGGGCAGTTCCTAGGGAGTGGCAGACCGGGGTGGTGGTCCCCATCTTTAAGAAGGGTGACCTGAGGGTGTGTTCCAACTATAGGGGGATCACACTCCTCAGCCTCCCTGGAAAGGTCTACGCCAAGGTACTGGAGAGGAGGGTCCGATCGATAGTTGAATCTCAGATAGAGGAGGAGCAATGTGGTTTTCGTCCTGGCCGTGGAACTGTGGACCAGCTCTATACCCTTGCAAGGGTGATGGAGGGGGCATGGGAGTTTGCCCAACCAATCCACATGTGCTTTGTGGATTTGGAGAAGGCTTATGACCGTGTCCCCAGGGGCACCCTGTGGGGGACGCTCCAGGAGTATGGGGTGGGTGGCTTTCTGTTAAGGGCCATTCAGTCCCTTTACCAGAGGAGTGTGAGTTTGGTCCGCATAGCCGGTAGTAAGTCGGACCTGTTCCCAGTGAGGGTTGGACTCCGCCAGGGCTGCCCTTTGTCACCGGTTCTGTTCATCACTTTTATGGACAGAATTTCTAGACACAGCCGTGGTGTGGAGTGTGTCGAGTTTGGTGGCAGGAGAATCTCGTCTCTGCTTTTTGCGGATGATGTGGTCCTCCTAGCTTCATCCAGCTCTGACCTTCAGCTCTTGCTGGGTAGGTTCGCGGCCGAATGTGAAGCGGCTGGGATGAGGATCAGCACCTCCAAATCTGAGACCATGGTTCTCGACCGGAAAAGGGTGGCTTGCCACCTCCGGGTCGGGGGAGAGGTCCTACCTCAAGTGGAGGAGTTTAAGTATCTCGGGGTCTTGTTCACGAGTGAGGGTAGGAGGGATCGGGAGATCGACAGGCGGATTGGTTCGGCGTCTGCAGTGATGCGGACGCTGAGCCCATCTGTCGTGGGGAAGAGGGAGCTGAGCCAGAAAGCCAGGCTCTCGATTTACCGGTCGATCTACGTCCCAATCCTCACCTATGGTCATGAGCTTTGGGTAATGACCGAAAGAACGAGATCGCGGATACAAGCGGCCGAAATGAGTTTCCTCCGTAGGGTGGCCGGGCTCAGCCTTAGAGATAGGGTGAGGAGCTCGGAAATTCGGGAGGGACTCGGAGTAGAACCACTGCTCCTCCGGATCGAAAGGAGCCAGTTGAGGTGGTTTGGGCATCTGGTCAGGATGCCTCCTGGACGCCTCCCCGGGGAGGTGTTTCGGGCATGTCCTGCCGGCAGAAGGCCCCCGGGTCGACCCAGGACACGTTGGAGAGGTTACATCTCCAATCTGGTCCGGGAACGCCTTGGGGTCCTGCCGGAGGAGCTGGTGGACAAGGCCGGGGAGAGGACGGCCTGGAGCTCCCTAGTTGGGATGCTGCCCCCGCGACCCGGACCCGGATAAGCGGAGGAAGACGAAGACGACGAAGACGAAGTATAAATATGACATGTGTATAACTTATTGTTTTTTTACAGGTAAAAACGTGTAGTGGAGATAAATCTACCTACATTTTACTTTTCAACACTTTGTTTTGTTTTCTTGTTTTTATTTAACTATTTTCCTGTCCTGTCTGTCTCTCATCTTCCTGCATCTCCTCATAATTCTCCAGAAAATCTGTTGCCTGGATTCTTACCTTTTCACCTCATCAGTTACTTTTGAGCAGATCAAAGGGATCTCCTGACCGCAAAGCGCAGAGGCGTTTTCGATGCTGAGTGAGGTGACATCACCACAGCACAGGTGATGAGCTCCGCAGTAGCGCGCTTCAGGCACAAATAAGACAGAAAATAGAGAACATGTGCAGACAAGAACATCGTGTGCTAATTATAGTTTTTTGGTTGCGCCACTTTGAGAATGGACCGTGCGCTGGAAGCAGCTGCCTGGATCGCTGCGTAACAATGCGGAACCGGTTCGCAGCAGCGCAAGTCTGCAGGCTCTCCCTCGCGCTGATCTGCCGGTACCGGCTCTCCCTCGCGCTGATCTGCCGGTACCGGCTCTCCCTCGCGCTGATCTGCGGCTCTCCCTCGCGCTGATCTGCCGGTACCGGCTCTCCCTCGCGCTGATCTGCGGCTCTCCCTCGCGCTGATCTGCCGGTACCGGCTCTCCCTCGCGCTGATCTGCCGGCTCTCCCTCGCGCTGATCTGACTTGCTCTGGTCTGCGCGCAACGGCGGGCGGGAAGCTTTTGGAAGAGTTGTGCGACACAACGAATCGATGACGCAATTCGTTGCCAACGCTTTTAGTAATCGATTTTCATCGAATTTATCGATTCGTTGTTGCAGCCCTACTGACTATATATATATATTACAAAATAATGTAAAAAAAAAAAACCACAAAACATCATCCAGATTTTTCATTTCTTCAACTGAAATGAGGGCAGCAGTAGCTCAGGAGGTAGAGCAGGTTGTCCAAGCATCAGAGCCGCCAGACTCATACTAGCAAACTCAGAAGGTGAGAAACTAAAATAAAACCTCCCCCGACTTGTACATACTTCTTTTTGTTAAAATAATCTGTAGGGATAATTTAAAAAAAATCATCCTGTGAATTTTTGCAGCGCTCCTCTGTGAGAGCGAGGGGGGTGGGGGTGGGGGTGCACTCGTTCCGCTGCGGTTTCTCACCAGTATCAGCTGATGGAGGGCTCTAGTTTTGTTGCGCCGTTCGTGTCAGCGGACACGGTAGGGTCGGGGAGGGGGGCGGGGCATGACGCTTAGCTCGGCAGGTGGCCAAGCAAAGCCCGCCAGGCTTATAAAGCGCTGGGGGGAACCCTGGGTTTAAACAGCGTTAAGTACTGGCAGTGTTTACTCCGAACCTTAGGCTAAATGAAACAAATGATTAAAGATTAACCGAAGTGAAATAAAATAATAAAGACCTGATAAGTTTTCAGCTTGGTGTGGTTTTGGGACACGTGTATATCGTGACTCACCTAGAGGTGCTGGAGTCTCTGGTTTGACAGGCAGCTGGACGGGAGACCTGGGCCGGTCTCTGAACCCTGGTGGTCGGGGATCGCGTCTGTTCTGTGGAGGGCCTTGCCAGTATGGAGAAGGAAACCCCGTGGAAGAGGGGGTGGGGGTGAACGTTGAAGCAGCTCCATGCTGTGAGGAGAGGCAGGGCAAACTCAAAGTTAATCGTGGTTTCAAGTAGGAAAGGCTCTCCGTTTCTGGTGTGAGGGGTTGCTGCTGCTGTTGTTAATCAAATATTAAAGTCATTTAGGGGGAGAAAGTCTCCTCACAAAAGGAAGGACTTGAAAGTGAAAGAATCCTGTCTATTAATCAGGGTTCCTGCTGCCAATATAAGCTGATTGGTATGAAAATATGATGATGTATGTGTGGGGATTTCCTAAATTATCATCCATAACATTTGCAACATTCTGTGATATTCTGTAAAAGGCTTGCTAAAATTCAAGTATTACAATGATTATTTAGATTAAAATAAAAATAAAAAAAGTCACTACTGAGCCCAAACGTTCCTCTGCACAGCCTGACACAACCAGATGCTGGGATCCGGCACAGTTTCTGTGGATTGCCTCTTCTTCTCACACTAAACCCAAAAAGCTTCAACAGATTCTCCTGTAGCATCTGCATACCTGATAATCAAACTGGTTCATGGCCACGGGGGCCATGGCGTAGCTGTCGGGCTGTGCCCCATACCCATGGCTGTTCTGGGGGAAAACCCCGCGGTGGGCTTCAGTGTTGAACTCCACGCTGTCCTGGCTGTTGCTGTCCTCATTGGGGGTCACCACTTCCATTGGTCCTGAACCTGGAGGGATCCAGGCCTGGTCAGGGGGCGGAGGAGGAGGAGGGGGCTGACTGTGCATCCCCCACTCTGTTAATACACAAAAACAGCAAAAGTTATTTTTTAAACCGGGTTTGTCTGGAAACAAATTAGTGAAATATCTCTTTAGAGATATAGCCCGTAATCACACCAGATCAAAAGGTCTCAATTTGGACAAAACACAGAAAGACAATAAATGTCAAGCTGTGCATCAGCAGTAACAGAAAACAATAGAAACAGTAGCCGGTTGTGTTTGCCTGCACCACTGCAGTGAAGAGTCTCTTATTTCTGCAGAGCAAGAGCAGTGAAATAAAATCTAAACCTAACGTAAACTGTAGACTGCAGCACCAGAGGGATGCTGACTGGGCCAATAGGACACCCTGCAAGTCATCCTTTTTAGGTCTTCTCTTTAAAATAAGACATTTAACTGTACTCACACAACAAGAAACAATTAAAAAAGGAATTAAAATACAGGAGAAAAGTCGCTGTGTTTGAGATAAATAAGTAGACACACTTGGATGTAAACAAACCGGTACATTCAGTACAAATGAGTTTATCAACTAACTGAAAAATAAATTATTCTTTCTGCTTTTGTCACTGCTGAACATTTGAGCAAAAACAGCTGACTCAACAAATAAGGTGGGAAAGTCTGTGTGTGTTAGATCCAACCAAGACTCCTAGTGAGCTTCAGTGTGTAGTTTAAAACTTAAACTCTAATGCTTTTCTCATAATCACCTTACCCTTTTGAATTTACCCATCGTTATTTCCCTAAATTAGAAAGACTAAACTTTCCCAATCCTTCAAAGGTGCTGTAACCCCATGAGATGCCACGCCCCTTTAGATGCTCAAGAGAAAAGTAAACAAGTGTTTTTTCTTACTGACAGGTTCTCTAGCAAACATATTCTAATGTCTTTAAAGCCTTATTTATAAGACAGACCATCGCGTCATTACAGAGTGATGAATCAGAATTTGTGGGTCTCGTAAATGTGGCAAGGAGCAAAAAGGAAGGGTAATAAAACTCGATCCTGATGCGCTTAGCCTCGTAGTAATACTGCCACATGAGCCCCTCGCCTCTAACGGCTAAACGCATGTCAGCCCCGCTAATCCCTTTGGTGCGACTGGGAAGCCCCCCGCAAAAGAGGGTGGTCATGTTAGTGACGTATACTGCGCGCCGAGTGCCGGCTGGAAGGGATATAAACACAGATAAACATGGCCTCTCACTAGTATCTTTCAAGCACCTACAACAGTGGTTCCCAAACTTATTTAGCCGCGCACCCCCTTCTATGTCCCGACCATGTCGACGCACCCCCCAGCCCCACATCAGGGCATGGCTATATGATAATTAAGTTTTTCATCTGATAACATGTCAGTGATGTCTGAGGGGCTTTTACAAACACTGTATAACTAATACTCCTGGAGAGGGCATGAACTACACAGAGGCTTCTGGGGAGCCCAGTTATGAGGAGGTGGGGTCATTTTGCCTTGGCCCCCAAAATGTCTTGAAATGGCCCTGGGTGTGTGACTGAGTTTTGAAGGTGATCTGAATTGTATCAGATGTATAAATATGACATGTGTGTAACTTATTGTTTTATACAAGTAAAAACGTGTAGTGGAGATAAATTTACCTACACATCACTTTTCAACACTTTGTTTTGTTTTCTTGTTTTTATTGAACTATTTTCCTGTCCTGTCTGTCTCTGATCTTCCTGCATCTCCTCTAAACTCTCCAGAAAAACTGTTGTCTGGATTATTACTTTTTCACCTCATCAATTGTTTTTGAGCAGATCAAAGGGATCTCCTGACCACAAAGCGGAGAGCGCGTTTCGATGCTGCGTCAGTGAGGTGAAATCACCGCAGCACCGCGCAGCACAGGTGATGAGCTCCGCAGTAGCAGAGCGCTTCAGGCACAAATAAGACAGAAAGTAGAGAACATGTGCGGACATGAACGATCGTGTGCTAATTATAGATTTTTGGTTGCGCCACTTTGAGAATGGACCGTGCGCTGGAAGCAGCTGCCTGGAGCGCTGCGCAACAACGATCAGCGTTGTGCCGCTCTCTGTGCTCTCTGCTCAAAAGAGCTCATAAATGATGTAATATTATAGGTAGAAAACTTTTTTCCGGCTCCCCTGGATGTGTAGGATATCCAGCTCCCCCATAATTTGATCCCTGCTCCTGGATTAAAAGCCGGACATTTTCATCATACAAGAACCCCCAGTCCGGACGCCCCGGACAGAGAGTGAAAAGTGGACATAAACAGTCACCCTAGTTTAATATAAAGCGGGAGATTACAGATAGGCCTACAGTATTTTGCTCATGCCCTTGCCCAGTTGCCCATATGGTTAATCCGGCCTTTGAGACAGGGTGTTTATTACAATCTGCCAGAATGACTCACCACCTTCAGATTTCTCCAACATCGTTAAAAATGATCAAATACTGAACATATCTTGCAATTGACAGCGTGCGCAGGTCAGAGTGCTGAAGCTCGGAGCGCATCATTATGAAGCTAGGGCACATGCGGAGGACACACACACACACACACACACACAAGCAAAATATACTTGTTTTCAATTGCATTTATTGGGCCCACTTACTTTTTCATAGGCCCACCCACAAATGAGTTTCTGGCTGCGCTAATGGTGACCACATCCATTACACTTTTCACCTCGCGTACCCACCACACTTAGGGAATCCCTGACCTACAACATGGCAAACTGTACGGATGCGGAGACCATGGAGCTTTTGGCCATACGAGGACGAACAGATTAGTCGTCTTTTTACAGGGACGGTGAGAGACAGCCAGCTGTTCGACAGAGTGGTGAAAACACTGGATGAGCGGGACAACAAGCAGGTCACATCAAAGCTAAAGGTCCTGAAAAAGAAATTTCATCAGTCTGACGAGCCTTGCGTCTGACGCTGAATGCGCGACCCTGTACGTCACATGCGGAGGGACCGCCCAGCGACCTCCCTTTAACCCGTCTTGGTTTGAGAGGTGCCCGATGGCAGTTTATTCTAGCTTCAGCTTTGCTACTATAAATGCCAAAGTCCTCCCCAGGGAACCGCGGCAAATCCCGTTTTGCAAAAATGGTCCTGTAAAATCAGCTTAAGACACTAACAACTGCATATATGTAGGCTCTATTGCAAAAGCCCCAGGTTTTAACAATTTAACAACCCATTGACCATGGCCACTCTGGAGGACAGTCTCTGGTTCTTTAGCTTTTGGCACGAGTGACAGAAACAGCAGATCAGGAGAATGACTCCTTAAATGTCTATGTAAAGTCCATCCAGTAAGAATAATTTATCCTTTTACCTGGCTGCCATATTCTTCCAAATGCCGAGTCTCCCTGGAAGGATCCATGGTTACTGGGCGGTGGAGCAGAGTCAAGCCCCGGGATGTCCTGGCCATTTGGCTGGACGCTGTGCTGTGGTGTTCCCGTTGACTCCTTTTGGGCTATCCACGCCTGTGCAAGAGCCGCCCAGTCCACTTGACCTAAACAGATCACAAAAACACCCTCGGATTATTTTTCAAATGCAGTCGAAAGCGTTTTTGATCTAAGAAGATGTGATGTCCTTCAGTGGATGGAAGACATCCTTCACTCACCCGGGTCGTGCTGATGTTGAAAAGACTGCATCCACTGTTGCTGGCTTAGAGGCCACTGCGGCCACGGCTGTCCTCCCTGGTCCCACATCACCCTATCCGAAACCACTTCTGAAACATCCCAAAACAACTAACTTGTCTTTAGCTGGCACTACATATGTTACAGCAGCCAACCGATATAAAACAACCACAATCTAAAAAGCCAGAAAAACGAGTTTCAATAAGGCTAACGTTGACTCTGGCTAATCACTTAGCTTAAGCTGACGGTTGTAGCTAATACAGACCATTTGCTCTGATAGCAAAAACAAATGTTAGGCAAGACTGTATCATAAGCCAATCTGACGACAGAGATAAAAAAAAAAGTGGACTGAAACGCTTACTTACAAGACAGCTTCAAATCAATGGCTAAGGAACCGTCCTCAAGCTAACGTAAGCTAACGTTAGCTAAATATTAAAGCTACCAAGTAGCATTAAAATCATCTCCAAGGCGGCAAATGTGTGTTTGTATTTCAAAACGAAAAGAGTGCGGATGTTTGTTAAGTAGGCTATGGTTTGATTTACACACGATTCCCCACCTTTTCCAGTCAGTTTCTCCCGGCGGTGCGGTTCCAAATCAAAATGGCTGCAGTGGGTAGAAGAAGAGTGAAGTCAGGCTGCGTTCATGGACCGCTCGTAAAATTTACAGTCGGGTTGTTACCTGTTTAAAGTTCGTAAAAGGCATAGTTTTGCTTTTTGTGCGAAGTGTATATCATATGATTCCTGAATACAATAAAAAAATAAATAAAGTACAGACACCGTTTTATCCTGCCCAAAACTGTTAATGTATTAAAATTTGTAAAGAAATAAGTTGTATTGCCCATAAAGTTTCGTGTGTAAAAGTTCTACCTGTTAAAAGAAAACTGTCTTCTAGTTAAATCTAAAGCTAATCACAAGCAGTTCCTCAATGTAGCAAAGGTAACACGTGACAGTAGTGTGTTTTAAAAATGTATGAATGTCATCCCTTTAATGATTTATTACAGAGACAGCTGTGCAAAAAACAGAACACAAACACTAAACACAGTAGTGTTTAGTCTGGCCAGATAATTTTGCTGAACTTACACACCATACTAAACGGTGCTAATTCAAGCCATCCTATGCAAAAACATTTTACATTGGCTACTGTCTATCTGGATCTCAAGGCTAAATGCATTTATGTCTGAAATTCCAAAACATGATAGAATAGAACAGAACAGATTCAAATAGAATATACTTTGTTGATCCTGCAGTGGGGAAATTCACAAACACTTAAAACAGCATTTTGAAGAAAAATAATAACAAAGGTACATGTATGTAGGCAGTGACACACGTAGCTCAAGAGTTGAAGGTGTTGATGAAGGGACAGTCTGGTTACAGATGATTCAGTGGAGCACAAAACATTACATATATTATTGTTATTTCTTTTACCAGTTTATTTATTAAGAATGTAATAAATAAACAAATAAACAAAATAGACAAATTGAGTTTCTGTTTGTATGCTGACTGCTGACAAATCAATCAAATAAAATCAAAGCTTTATTTATAAAATGCCTGCCGCGACCCTGTCAGGGAGCCTAAGGCACAGAACACAGTACGAAAGAAATGTATATCACAATGAATAAGTAGATAATAAAAGCAAATAAAATTGTGCAATTAGGATTAAAATATTGAAGTGGAAACAAATAGATAAAACAAGGGATAAAGTGACCAATAAAAACAGAGAATAAAATCAACATGAAAGAGGGCCGACCTCAAACACGTTCAGGGGAAGAAGTGGGTTTTCAGGCGACACTTAAAACCCAGCAGAGATGGGGGACAGCCTAACTGAGGGTGGCAACTAGTTCCAGAGTGACGGAGCTAGGACTGAGAAAGCCCGATCCCCACGAGTCTGACACTTAGAACGAGGGAAAGCAAGCAGGCCTTGGTCAGAAGAGCACAGAGCTAGCCTGGCCTGCCAGACTCCTCTGTTTAATTCTGCACAGAGAAAGAGTCCGGGAACTCTCCTATTCAAATAACCCCAACCTGTGAGAATTCTAACCGAGCCAATCAGCGCTGAGTAGCGTACGTCACACACCATAACGCTGAGTTCGTCATAAACATGGCAACTGAAGCGGGGTTCGCCGCGCTCTTTCCTCTGTTCTAAATGACTTGAATGTCTTTAAAACCACAAGTAAAAGCGCTAAAAGCCTTTCTTCTAAAGAAAGATGTTTGCGCTGTCGCCAGATGCCAATTTTCACTACAGTTAAAAAACTACAGCGTCGCGGACGTCACACACAGCGACGCTCAGTTTCTCATAAACAACGAAGACAGCGGCGGAGTTCGCTGCGGCTCTTTCCTCTGTTCTAAATGATCTGAATGTCTTTAAAACAACAAGTAGAAGTGCTAAAAGCTTTACTTCTAAAAAACTAAATGACTTTTTTTTTTACTACAGCTAAATAACTACAGCGTCGCGTGGTACAGTCGGCATTTCCATCTTTTTTCTGATTGGTTATTTTTGAGCTGCCTAGTTCCCACCCCTCAAGTGCCTCTCTGCCTGAACCAGACTCTTTCTCTGTGCAGAATTAAACAGAGGACGAGTCTGGCAGGCCAGGCTAGCGCAGAGCGCGTGATGAAAAATGTCTGTCTTCCACCCTGGAAGAAACTGAAAACACAAACCAGGAGTTTAAAGCGAGAACGATAACAGACCGGAAGCCAGTGCACGCTGGCCAGAACCGGACTGATGTGGTCCCATTTCCTGGTCCCAGTCAGAAACCTGGCAATGCTGTTCTGCACAACCTGCAGGCGACGCAGTGATGACTGATACATATAGAGAGCTGCAGTAATCAAGCCTAGAATTACAAAAGCTTGGAGTAGAAGAAGAAGAAACAATCTTTCTATGGCGCCTCTCAAGATAAAAATCACAAGGCGCTTCACAAAAACAAAAAAAATTTAAATATAAAAAAGAATTTAGAAAATGACTAAAAATGTGTTTATAATAAGCAAAAACTAGCCAATTGTTATTGAAAAATATAAAGAAAGAGAGAGAGTTAATAGGAAAGATGGAAATCAGTGGATCCCTGGAAAGGTAGAACAAGTAGTTGCATCAGCAGTGGTTCCTACATAAAGATTGGGAATTTTGGCACTAGATGATCGTTTAAAACAAATAGAGTTATTTTTTGGCAGTAAATGGGCATCTATAGTGGCCACAGATTATCTTAATGTGCCTGTGGTGTCTGCAATGACATGAGTGCTATTGATCCTGATAAGATTGTTGTGCCATGCTGAACAGTTATTCAGAGCAGAAGTGCTGGTGTGTACCCAACACTTTTTCAGTATTTTCACAGTAGAGTGAGAGGGGTGTGCCAGTCCGTACAGGATACAGAAAACATCAAAAGAATTTAAGGCTTCAGGTTTCAACCCTACATGGACAAGCGGGTTCAGAAAATGGATGGATGGATGATTCCTGCTGCTCCGTGGAATCTAGGGCTTGAGCCGACGCAACATTCACCCTCACAGTCGGCGGCATAGCGACAAGTCCGCAAGCAGCAGCACACACACACATCCCCGCTCTGAGGAATGACGGTTCAGAAATTTGCCAGGGCTGAATTGTAGTCCCAGTCCACCCCTGCTTACTGGTGATTGTTGTAGGTTCTGTAGTTTCAGGATGTTGTGCAGTCAGAGAGGAGCTCCATGTTTGTCCTGTGGTTTCTTCAGGTGGTGCTGAGAGTGAGATGAGATGAATGGTGAGGAATGTGAACATGAGCATTAAAATGCTGCATCCTGCAAGCTGTAAACAGATCTTCATCTTCACTGGTTTGAGACGCGGGCTTCTATTGATGCCACTGCCCCTTTGCAGCCGGGCTTCGTTGCCGCTCTATTAGCGGTTTAGGAGACTTCTATGAGCTTGCAATGAGAAAGATGTATCCACGTTGGCCTCTCAGCAATTTTGACTGCTGTGGGGTGGTGAGGAGGACTTGGTATGGTCCCTCCCAATGGTGGGCTTGCCCAATTGTATCGTCTCAGCACTTTGATCAGGACCCAATTTCCGGGTTTCACAGCCTGTGTGGGTGAGAGAGCAGAAAAGAATTCTGGGAGATCATTGTAGTTTTTTACTTGTTTCTCTGCAAAAATTCTCATCATCCAGTCTTCCAAGGTATGTTCCTTTTCACTCTGGACTAATGGATTTGTAATATGTGGTAATGGGAATCTTCTTCCATGTACCACTTCAAAAGGTGTCGGTCCTCCTGAGGGAGCAGTTGTTCTCATCCATAGTTTTACTAATGATACACATTCAGGCCACGATCTGCCTGTTTCTGCCACAGTTTTGGCTAATCTATTTTTTTTTTTGTTCCATTCATTCTCAACGAGTCCAACTGACTCGGGGTGATAAGAACAGTGGTTCTTCAGTTCTAATCCTAAGGTTTCAGAACATCTAGTCATTACCTCATTCACAAAATGTGTTCCATTATCTGATCTTATAACACAGAGTATTCCATAAGTAGGAAAGAAATGGGTATGTAATACTTTTGCTATGGTTAGTGCGTTTATCTTTGTGGGATATATTTCAGGCCATTTAGATAAGGCATCTATCAGTGCCTTGTTCCTTGCATCTGTGAGAGTTCTATTGAATCCATGTGTATTGTGTGAAATGGGTATTCAGTTGTAGAGAACTTTCCTCTTTTGGCATCTTTGGTGTGTTCTTGCTGTGTTGAAATTCTAATTCCATCTTTTAGTTCTTTTTAAAACACAGGTTTTATTTACCTGCAACGTTTCGTTTGCGGCTGCAAACTTCGTCAGGCTGACGCTCTTCCTCTTTTGGGTCTTAATCGCCCCTGTGCATTGTTTTTTTAGGCTTATGAACCCGGCCTTCTACTGTATTCTGAATACAGCGGGATTCAGTTTACGGTTTGGAAACCAACCTCTGTAAAAATCAGATCACTGATACGTGTGACTTGTATGTAAATGGGTTATAATGTCCTTCTCTAAAGGAGTATTATAAATCCATGCATTCTTCCATTCACTCACACCCAAGTTTTTTCACAGTTTAGGATAACTAGAGAAACGTTTCTATACGGTCAAAATGCTTAAAACCATTAAATACAGTATTCAAGAGAATCTGTTAATGCGTCCGTTCAGTGGACCAAACCAAATTTGAAATCTCTCAGTTAATTACAATCCTTTCGGTGGATTAAACCAAGTTTAAAACTTCTTCCTCAATCTGTTCAGTGGATTAAGCCAGGCTTAAATTCTACCAGTTTACTGGGATTTTAGTCAATAAAAATAGTCTCACCAGACTAGTCGACTCAGGTGCAAGTTTGTGGATCCGTGCGGTCTCCCAGCGACATCAAAAACAGGCTAGAAACACCGACCTCTAGCGAAACTCATCACCGGAGGGTTTTCAGTATCTCGAAAATTCTGCAGCGTTGGCTGTTGGCGTCGTTAGGATGACCCCGGATCCGGCTCGAAGGACCTGTTTATGTTAGGGATTTTACCCAACAACCTGCAGTCGAATAGGAAGACAGACAATGACCATCAGATACAATTTGCAAAAGAACTGCAAAGAACTGCCAAGTTAAGCATTTATTTATACAGAGAGATGTACATCAGAAAGACAAGGTTTGGATGGTTTCAAACTTCTCCCTGGAACATTCTGTACAGGGTGTGACGTTAGTTTGTGTATGACAGAAAGATTATTGGAACAT